AAAAAAAAAAAAAAAAAAAAAAAAACCTTCAACCAGGCACTTCATGCCCCTCCATCCAACCTTCTTTGGGGAGAGCAGAGGTGACAGCCCCGCCACCAGCAGGCCACCTAGGCCCCGCAGCCAGCCCCAGCCAAAACCACGGACCAGGTGGCCCGCTCTTCCTCCAGGCCCCAGACTCCAGGCGGCAGCCGGAGAACAGGGGTGTGAGAAGACCCCGATCCTCACTGCGCCCCGCTCGAATGTGGTGTTGTTGCGTGTTGCTCTCAGATGCAATTAAAACTGGGAGTACCAAGAGGGGGTGTCCGGCACACTCCACCCCCCCTCCAGGAGATAGACGGTGCCAGCACACCCTCCCCCTTCGACAACCCTCAACCCTCAATGTCTAGATGCGAGAGGGGATGGAGGAGGCCGACCGTGGTGAGGCCCATAAAATAAGCCCCCCCCCGGTGGCCCTGACCCCCACCCCCCGAAAATGCCCTACATAGATGTGTGTTGTGAAAATGATGTAGATGGAAGTGTCTAAAATGCAAAATAAAATTGGGGTGGGGGACGTCATCAGAAGGTGTGGCCCTCCAGTAACGACCCCCTCCCCAAAAACCTACATGTGTGGCCGAGTGATGGAGCAGGCAGAGGGAGGATTTCGGGGATGGGGAGCAAAGGACTGGGGTGCCTGCTGCACTCCCAGGGAGCCAGCTCCCCCGCTGACTCCAATAGGCACCCCCGTTCCCCGAGAGCCCCCCCAGAGAAGGGGGCCCCACCAGTTTCACCACCATAGCCCGGGGGCACGGGACCGGCAGCAGGACCCACCAGCCAGCCGGGCACGGAGCCGACTCCACCACCCCCCCCCCGTCCTGTCCATCCAAAAAAATAATAATAATAAAAAAAATAAATAAATAAATAAGTAGATAAATAAATAAAATTAAAAAAAATAAATAAATAAATAAATTAAATAAAAAAAATAAAAAAAAAAAAAAAAATAAAAAAAATAATAATAAAAAAAAATAAATAAATAAATAAATAAATAAAAAAAATATAAAAGGAAGATAAGAAAAAAAATAATAATAATAAATAAATAAATGAATAAGGGAAGGGACAATCCCAGCCGGCCAGCCAACGCGCAACACGCAGAGCCCCCACCCCGGACGAAGCCCCACCAGGGGGCAGCACGGACCAGGACCAAGACAGGGAGCCAGACCCAAAGCCCTTCAAAGATCTTCTTCCCTCTATCACCACCCCCCCCCCCCCCCTCCGGAGATGTAATCCCTCCCCTACAATAACAATCAAGCTACTCACCACACAAGCGACAGAAGACATCCAGGCCGAGATCATACCTACTCCCCCTCCCTCCCCTTCCCCCACTTACAGAGTGCAAACCCGTGAGGGGGTAAGCACTTGCCATAGGTGTTAATGTCCATGCCCCCCCCCCAGCCCAGCAGGCCCCGAGGCACCCCGGCACACCAGAGGCCGTGGCAGCAGGGACAGACAGCCAGGCGTACACCGGCCCAGAACCCAAGCAGCACTCCCCACAGAACCCGAACCCCCGAACCCCCACCGGGGGACCCCGCCCAAGGGCAATGCGCCCCAGGGATCCCAGGCCCAAGGAGCCACCCCAGACCCACCCCGCAGTAGGGCCGGGCAATGCCCAAAAACCCCCGGCACCGGCGCCAGCACCCCCCCCCCCCCCCCCGGCCCCCGAACGACTCCCCCCAACACCGGTCCCACAGCACCAATCCGAAGAAGAAGAAAGCCACACAACACAGCTAAGCGCAAATCCCGAGCCCCACTCCAAGCCCCGATCCCCCCGCCCACACACCCCCTCCCACACAAAAAACAAACAAAAACAAAAACAAAAAAAATTATAATATTCTCCCCCTCACCGGAGAAGAACGGCCGCAAACAAGCCAGTGCCCAACACCCACCGCCACACCACGAGGACCCCTCCACCCAGATGCTCCTCCCCAGAAAAGTCAACATGCCTGCCCCTCCCAGGAGACAGGCAAGCCCGCCGAACAGGAATCCCCCCGGCAGCGCACCGCCGGCATGCGGGGGGCCCCGAGCAGCCCCAACAGAAACAACACCGGAAGGCCGACAAGGACGAACCGACGGCACCAACCCAAACCCCCAAGGCCCGGGCTCCCCCACCCAAAAAAAAAAAACGAAACCACCCCCCCCCCCCCCCCGACCACAGCAAACACAGCCGCAAGGCAAAGGGAAAAGGGCAAGCGCCCCACCCGGCAACCCCGCCAGAGGCCCGGCGCAAGGCCGCCCCAGCCGCCAGAAAAACCGGGACAAGCAGCAAAAAAAAAAGCAGCAGACGCACCCCACCACCCCCGGGCCTGCCCGGGGCGGAAAAAAAACCCCACCCACCCCGCTCCGGCCAACCGGGACCGCCCAAAAGGGCCCCCCGAAAAGGGGACGGCCACGCCGGGCCCGGCCCGTCCCCCCCCGCCGCCAAACACCAGGGAACCCTCCACTCCCAAAACCCCGCACGAGCAAAGGGAAACCCCGCTTTACCGGGACCCCCCCCAACAAGCGAAGCCACACCCCGACCCGGGGGGACTCCCCCAAAAGGGGCCCCCGACGGGGCCCCAACCCGCCCCCCAACAGAACCCCACACGAACCCCGGCCACAGGCGCGACCACCCACGCCCCCCCCGGACGACGCAACCACGGCAAGCACCACGGCCAACCACGAAACCCGGCACCGGAAGACGAGGCACGCCCCGACGCCCCGCAGAGCAGAAGCACCCCGGCCAGCACCACAAAAGAACCGATGCCCGGCGCCCAGCCCCACCCAGCAGCAGCACAGCCACCAGGCCAGTAGCCCACGTCCGCCACCACGGAACCCCCCAAGAGCACCGCACGCGGCCGCCGCAGGACCCCCCCGCGGCGCCCCAGACCCCGCCCCGACGGGGGCAACAGTCCCCCGGGCCAGACCCGCCAGGCACCCCGCGCCGAGCACCCCCCCGAGCCCCCAGGACCCAAGGACCCCCGAACTAGCCCCCGCGCCCCACAAGACGCACCCCATAGCCCCCCACTACACTAAGTGATGGAGCCGATCAAGGGAGCCCAGAGAGATCGGTCTGATGGGGATGCAGATGCTGTCTCAAGATTAATATGATCCAACAACAGATCTCTGTACTGATTGATGTTGAGTTTATCCTTACTCTTCCAATTCATGAGGATAGTTTTCTTTGCGATACATAATGCAGTGAATGCCAAGCAAACCGATTTTTTTCCCATAGAGCTTCCCTCAAAGTCACCCAGCAAGCAAACTGAAGGGGAAATTAGGATTTTACAACCCAGGCACAGTGATAGATCCTTACATACCTGTACCCAGAATCTCTGAACCGGCGTGCATAACCATAGCGCGTGAAAATAATTATCAAGTCGATTGCCTGTGCACTGTGGACAGATGTTAGATTGCGCAAAACCCATCTTGAATAATCTTTGACCTGTATAGTGCACTCTGTGGAGGATTTTGTATTGTATTAATTGTAAATTGAAGTGTCTGGTCAAGTTAAAAGTTCTTAGACATATCTGAGCCCAGATGTTTTGTTCAAAGCTGACTGATAAATCCTCCTCCCATTTAGTAATAGGAAGAGATATTGTATCATCCAGTTTAGTCAGTGTCCTGTATAACTTAGACAGTAGTTTGGGGGGGGTTAACTCTAGAAACTCTGATATTTTAGTTGGAATTATTAAACCTCCATCAATATGCTTAAATTTATTTCTAATTATAGCTTTGATTTGCTCATATTCTAAGAATTTATTTTTTAATTAATTTATTTTTTTATTTATTTTTTATATATAGCAATTTCTAAGGCAGTGCAAACATAAAGAATGAGACTCTAAGTTCATAGCTAATAATAAATAATATACGTATGACTGTATATGCAATTTATGCCAGTAAATCCACTGTACTTGAAAGTGTCAAGTGTGTCTGGAACTGCAGTCAATTTCCATTCAGGCCTGGAATTTTCTCAAACATTCAGGCCATAACCTGGTTATTGCAAATCGAATAACCAACAGCATTTCCAAACAGAATCATGCACTTTTCATGCCTCTGAGGTCAGGGAAGAAACCACATTCTCTGTTGGACTTCACTAAACACCCAGCCCTATTTCACATAACTTTTGTCATTTTTTCCAACAGCCAGGATAGGGTGGAGTACTAATTCTGCAGAATTTAGCACCCCTGTCTTTCTTTGTTCTTTGTACAAAACATAACATTTTCAATTAAATATATATTATTTTTTTATGATTATTCACAGCTTGTTTCTATGTAATAAGGTTATTTTTTTTTCTTTTCTTTTTTCTGGAAATCTGCTCTTTCTTGTTTCAGGTATAATGTTGTTCCATTTATGATGATGCTGCTTTTATCCACCTGTACATTCCTTTGGAGCCATTCCAAAAATAAAAGAATTATAATAAAATCAAAAATCATCCACATATGCGTTTGATGATGCAGATCTGACTAAAACTATTAGTTAATACTGAAAAACGATCTCTGGGTAGTAACATTGTAGACACCTAGTATGAAAAAGAAAAGGACAAAAATAAAGGCAGTAACAGATATTATATAATAATATTACATAATGATATATGTTATAATTTCCTGTTTTACTCTTTTAGGCTTTTTATTCCTTTTTTATCCTTAATGAACACTAGCTTATATAGACTATTAGGAATATTTATAAGACTTATTTTTCTTTATTACATTTGCAGCCAAATGTCCACATAAAGCGTGTGTCAGTGCCACCTGGTGGAGGAGAAAAGTATTACAAATTCAACTCGGACTCAAAGTTGCATATCGGTTTCAGTTGAGGCGTTATTTCACGGTGTTTTGGCCTAAAAACGGCGTTTTGCGTATCTTCTTATCAAACGCCTGGTAAAGGTGGTGGTTTGTGACACTTTTGATTTGCCATAATGAATGGGGTGGCTGGATTTGGTGGAGGTTTCTGCGCGTAATCTTATAGCAGCGTTGTTGGTTACCGTGGCAACGAGACCGTTGTGACAACGGTCGAAACGGTGGCGCCGGACTCTTTCGCTGTTTATTGTTTTCTGCTGTTAAAGATGGAAGATTTTGATCGACCCCAAAGAAGCCGACAGGCAGAAGCTTCCAAGGCTTTTCTAATGAAGAACAGCTCAAACAGCAATATGAATCTGTAAGTGTTCATGAGTTTCTCCAACTTTCTGACGTTGACACAGCGCAAGGCGCACAAACGCCTACAGTATAACTGAACACTAACTGAAAATCTCCCTTTTTCCTATTTTTTTGTCCACAAAAAAAGCTGAATTATGTGAGTAATGTTGTTTGATATTTAAACTAGTTCCATCTGAATTAAAGTTTAATTTTAAGTATTCATTTTTAAAAAAGCTCAGAACGTAAACTGTTCAGTTAATCAGTTCCCAAACGGATACAGTTTTTTCTAAAGGCCCTTTATTACACTTGAAAAACAGTGCAAAAAAAAAAAATAAATAAATAAATAAATAAATATATATATATATATATATATATATATATATATATATATATATATATATATATATATATATATATATATATATATATATATATATATATATATATATATATATATATATATATATATATATATATATATATATATATATCCATACTCTTACTACATTCATATTCAGGAACTGGTTGGAGAAACACCCTTAGAGGTAATTTTTATTTCCCTTTGGGATGAACAAAGTACTTCTAAACTGAAACAAACTGAGCATTTAACACTGCTCTGTATCAATAAAAATGTATTTCCCTCAAAGGCTTTGAAAGCAAATGTTAATTTTTCTTCCCCATCCCTGTTTCAATTCAATTTAATTCCGTTTATTTTGGGGATGCATGATATTGGGATTTTGGCCGATATCCGATATGCCGATATAGTAAAACTCATGTAGCTGATAACCGAAAAAGATACCGATGTTAAAGCTGGACAAAAATAAGTAGTCATTGAAAATAGCAGTTTTGTTATCCATTTCTGACACTTTGAAAAATAATATACTCAAATATATTTTCATATGCTGATATCAAATTGATTTTTAAAAACGCGGTATCAATCTATTTTACTTTCAAAATTTTGTGAAATTTCTTCGTTCTGTTACAAACTCTTGTGATATTTTGCAAATTATTGTGAGATTTTGTTAGTAAAATAGATTGATACCGCGTCAATATATCAACATATAAAAATATGGCAAAATTTCGTGAATTTTCGGGGTATTTCTTAGCATAACGATGACATATAGCAATATTTCATTAGTAAAAGAGATTGATATGGTGTTTTTAAATGGCAATATATCAGCATATGAAGATATTGTGATATTTTAATGTATCAATATTTTTTCCCTCGTCTTTAGAAGTTTTTAAGTCTGTAAAAAGAAGTTTTTGAGGAAGAAGAAGAAGTAGTATTTTATTTTATTTTTTTTGACTTTAGAAACTCAGAAGCTGATCAAATATCGGGTTAAATATCGGTGGGGTGGCCGATGTCTGATATTCAGTTTTAAGGCCGATACAGGCTGATACCGATAGGGGGCCGATTATATCGTGTATCCCTAGTTTATTTCTATAGCACCAAATCACAACACGTCATCTCAAGGCACTTTACAGTTCACCAGATCATCCAGTCAAATTGATTCAAATTGTTCTATCTAAGGAAAACCAGTTGATTGCATCGACTCATTAACTGGAATGCAATCCTTTACAGCAGGGGTCTTCAACGTTTTCAAAGCCAAGGACCCCCAAACTGGTTGCGAGATGGAGCGGGGACCCCCTAATTATATATATTGTATGAAATTGTGTTATATCAAACTGGTCCTATAGTCACTCTATTACATATGGAGTCATGTAACGAAGGTAATTTCTCCCTGGGATTATTAAAGTATTTCTGAATCTGATTCCTGGTTAATGGGACAGGTGTTGTGAATGAAAAGGTCTCCAGCTTAAAAGAGCTCCTGTGTGTCGCTGAATGTCTGCATTGATGACTGAAAGACATCTTCTGCCTCCATTTATCTGTTTACTACAGTGTGTTGAATTCATGTTGATGTGGATTTAAAGACATTTTAATTAGTGCAAAAAATTGCAGAAGGGGAATATAAAAAAAAGTAATCAACCAAGACTTTCGCGACCCCAATGCAGTACCTCCGCGGACCCCCTAGGGGTCGCGGACCCCTTGTTGAAGACCTCTGCTTTGCACTAAGCATGCTTGTAGTGACAGTGGAGAGGAAAAACTCCCTTTTAACTGGAAGAAACCTGAAGCAGAACCAGGTTCAGTGTTTCAATGTAGCCATTATTAAGAACCTGAACATATGTTCTATGGTAAGGTCAAATATTACTACAAGTATTCACAAAAACTACACCCATTGCTGTCTATTAATTTAATCTTGGCATTAGTGGTGTTGTATTATTATTATTATGCACAAACTGGAGTCGAAATTCAGGATCAAATGGACTGATATCAAAATTCATTTTTAATCAGTGATTCTCTGCAGTCTCCACAAAAGATGGCTGTTGTGAATTCAATTTGCCTACCAACAGAATGGGACATTTATCTCCTTAGAAAATCAAAAAAATGTTAACAGCATATATTGATATAAAACCATAAAATATATATTATATACTGGCTAAAGTTTATAGCTTATTTGTATACGACCAGCAACTGGTCTCGTTGTACCACTCTTTTTCAACAAAGGTAAATGAATAGGTTGTTAACAGAGCATTTAATAAATTGTATCAGGATTACTGGGGAATAAAACAAAAAAACTCTTGTCTAAACAGAGACTGGAAATAGAGATTCTCCTATCTACTGAGAGTCCGTTTTAAAACATTTAATTTCAATAACATACCCACCTTCAAGGGAGACCGGAGTTCCCCCATTTTTTGCCCTTTAATATCTTGCTCACACCAGATTCCTGATTTGGATGACATGTTGATTTCTCATCTTCTGTAGCTCTGCAAGAGAGAGCCTGCCAGCATGGACACCATTATTTGATTGGTTGGATTTCGAGTGCTGACAATCATTGCATGGTCCAACTCCTGTTTGCTTATCGCTGTGGAGTTAGAGTTGATGCTATCATACTTCAACAAACCAACTGTCATTTAGACAAGACAGACTGAAATGTTAGGATGATTCTACATTGTTTTCAAAGCAATTCAGTCTGATCTACTTTGTCAGAAACTCCAGAAGACTCAGGTGGAGGCATAAACAATTGCCTGGATCAAAGACTACATTACAAACAGACCGTAGCTTTTGAGAGTGAAGGATAGACTGTCTAATGAAGCAGTCAGCAGCACAGGATCACCATAGGGGACAGTACTCTGACCATTTATTTGTACTCTGTACACCTGATTATGGAGGAAATCCTCTTCATAATATTTCTAAACAATGCTGTCTTCAGAAACAGCATTCCCCAAATCAGGGATCACAGAAGATTCTTCCAGAAGAGCCGTCCTGTCTACTGCTATCAACACCTACATCAACTATTTAAAAAAAAAAAAAAACTATAAGTTACAGCAGCATTTCATTTCCCCTTTAGCTTAATATTTTTTTAATGAATTTATATTGAATTAATGCTTGTATTTAAATTAGAATCTGACAGCCTAATTAGGTTGTATTCTAAACACAAAAAATAAGTTAGGCTAAGCAGAACAGAATTAGAAATGGATATAACTTCACATTAATAAACCGAATAAAATTGAAAGTCCTTTTGTCTTCCAGCTATGATCATCTGACACATCTACTTACCAAAGTGATGGATGAGCATCCCAACAATGCAGTGGATGTCTTTGAGGAAATGAGCTATGAAGTAAAACGAGCTTCACTGAACAGCATGCAGAGCAACTTGCGAGATCTTCCACAACTGACAGCTACTGAGCTGCTGGCAGAGCAGCAAAGGTCATTGTTTTTACAGTCAGACAATGAACCCCTTGATGATGAAACGGTATGGATGTCTTATACTTGCGCAAATAAATTGATCAGTTTTGGAAGTGGAATTCACTTTAAGCTTGTTTTCTAACTCTAGGGAAAACCTGTTCTTCCTAATGTGAATGAGATCAGTTTCTATCTGGAGCAGGCTGAAGTGGGTTTGGGAAGAGAGGAGATGCAGAGGATTTTCCTTGCACTGAAAAAACTTGTTGATTCAGAGCGACTGACACATTGCCGGTTCTGGGGAAAAATCTTGGGGATAGAGAACAACTACATTGTTGCAGAGGCGGAGAACAGAGGGGGAGAAGAGAAGGACCACTATACCATTGAAGATGAACTTAAGGAACAGATAAAGGGGCCTGAAAGTCTGGAGAAAGAACCATTTGAGGTAAGAGCAAGGAAGCTTGAAACATGCATCCATTGTCTATATCTGGGTGGGGTCAATAAGTTAGATGTTGCCTAAGCTGTTGTAGGTATATGCCTCCTTACTGCTTTAGCCTTGAGAGAAAAGCCCCGTTTACACTATCCTTTTGAAATCGTGCCAAGATCGTTCCAAGCACAGTAAATGAGATTACTGTTTAGTGTAAATGGCACGCCAAACTGAACCGGACCGTGCCAGACACAAACGAACCCAGTTAAACTGGTACTAGTTCATCAGTAGGGCTCAGTCGGGTTCACTTGTGGCTCGGTTCTCCGATAACAAAGAGTGCATCAGCAGACCATCTCCTTACAGTCAGCCTCCGTAATCATGACATTGCAGACACTAGCTTTCGTACCGTGCCACACGATTTCTAGTGATGATTCCGCTTAGCAGTATGATGAGCCTCAACTCCTGTCATTGTTTTCTGCTTATGTAAGCCCTGATTAGACTAATGTTTGTTGTATCCGATTCCCAAAAGTGGATTCTGTCAAGTAAATTCACCAAAGGCTGCCTTCTTCATCTGGCTCTCCGCAAACAACGAAATATGTTACAGGCGCCACCATGTTTGTTTGCTTGTTTACCTATAGGGAGAAGTAGTACCGTAGATCGCCACTTGGAGGCGAGGAACTGTGCTAGCATGGTGTGTAAATGGTCATAAGGAACCAAGCTCGGCACAGATCAGTTTTCAGAGGGTAGTATAAATGGGGCTGAAGATAACCTTCAGTCCTTGAGGATCAGTGACTTTCAGATGAACCTCTTCTTTACTTAACCTTGTTAAAACATCATATCAATAGCAGATCTCTGTGTAACTTGACTACTGGATATGTTGAGAAGTTTGTTTAGACTAGTGATACATTTTGGACAGGTTGTCAGTCCCTTTGAAAACAGATGAACATATTTTTTAGACCAACGCATGCCTTCTAAAATTGTTTAAGAAAAAGGTAAGCTACTTGCTAAATGGATTTTTCACACATGGCTGATGATATAAATGAAACTGTAACCAGCACCAGCCCGTTCTTCGTTTTTTCAAACTTTGTAAAACATTTTTCCTTGCTGTCTGTTTTTTCAAGGGATTTCCACTTCCTTATTCAGCTTATAAACCCCAGCATGAGGTACCAAAGGAAGCCATTGGAATAGGTGCTAACAAATTTGCTTACTATGTGTGCAAAGAACCAGGTCTTCCTTGGGTAAAGCTCCCTTCAGTTACTCCTGCACAGATCACCATTGCTCGCCAGATCCGCAAATTCTTTACCGGAAATCTGGACAAATCGGTTGTAAGCTACCCACCTTTCCCTGGAAATGAGGCCAATTATCTGAGAGCACAGATTGCTCGGATCTCTGCTGCCACACAGGTCAGCCCCTATGGCTCCTACCAAACTGTCGGGGATGAGGGTGAAGAGGAACAGGAGCTATATTGGGCTAGCATTGAGGTCAATCCTGATTTTGAGGGCGTTCCAGTACATGAACTGGCAGAATCATTGAAAGTATGGGTACATCATCGCCAACACATCTTGCAACAGGTAAATTGTGGCTCTGTTTAGAAACATGGCTGTTTCCTGAAAGTGTAGACACATTTACTGTGAACTCTGATTTCAGGGCCGCTGTACCTGGGAGAACATGGCTGAAAAAACTGGTGAAGACACTAATGAGGAGACAGAAGATGAGAGGGAAGAAGAGCTTGATGAGCCTGAGCCAGAAGTTGGACCTCGTCTGCTGAATCCTCTGTCTCTAGATGCAGGTCAGAGAATGCTTATTAATGCTATACAAGATGTTGTTATATATGCCACAATCATATTAACTTTCTCTGCTTCATGATTTAGGGTGGATTTTTACAGGTTGATATACAGAGTAATTTTAAAATAGAATTGGTCTTAAACTTTTCTATGGGATTGTAAGGCAGTTAAACATATATGCAGCTGCAAAACAAATCAGAAGGTTTTTTTTTTTTAGTTTTGGTTCAATAAATGGTTTGGGGGAGATATATAAGTAGGTCTAATAAATACCTTGAACATTGTCTGATATCATTGTGGGGCAAGGAACTTTCTTCCTCAAATACTCTGCAGAGCTACTTTTTCTCTGGTACATTACCGGCCATTTCTCATTGCAAAAGGCTCGGTGACTGTAGGGATATCTCAGTAACTTACCTCAAACGCTTAACTTCCTGTCCTAAATCTAAACCATCCCATTAATCTATTAACATTGAAATTACAAAAAACAAAACAATGCTTGAAATATTTCTGTAGTAGCGCTGTCTCTACCAATCACCCCTATTTTTACTGTTGTCATTATAGTTTGCTCCCCTCCATTTCTTTATCTCAAGGCGTACTACCTGAAAAACCCCATGAACATGACTATGGTGGTTTCATATTTTTTCCTTGACTACATGGTCATCATTGTTACATGCTGAGTTACAATGAGGCGGTTGGAGGTTAAGTAATGCTTGGCCATTGTATACCAACACTCTTGTTCCTCTTTAATAACCAAGTTTCAAAAAGGCACCAGAACACACAGAGAAAGACCAGCAGCCAATCAAACTGCTGCAATCTAGACTGAAGCTAAATCGTGTGTCTGTTTATATTTCAGAAATGTTTAATATGCCTCCATGGAGCTCCAGGTTGTCCTCCCATCTAACTCCTGAGCATGCAATAGCTGTGCTGCGTTCTAACCTCTGGCCAGGAGCGTTTGCTTATTCGTCTGGAAAGTCAGTGCAAGGGTTAATAACTCCATTGCTTTTTCTAAATGTATCCTGATGCTAACACTACAACTAACAGACATGTCATTTTCACCAACTGTATAGGAAGTTTGAAAACATATATATTGGATGGGGCCTGAAGTATATAGGAGAGGTGTACAGTCCACCCATTCCCCCACTACCACAGAAAGAATATCCTGATGGACCAGAGATTACAGAGGCCCTGGATCCAACTCCAGAGGAAGAGCTGGATTTCAAAGACAATTTGGAAGAACAGCAAGCTGCCCTGGAAGAGTCAGAGGAGTCAGAGGAGTCTGAAGAAGATGACAACTAATAATATGTTATCTGAATGTATATTTGAATCTGACCCTAAAGGTTAGGTCCATCAGAGTTCCTGGTTTAGTTTCTAATTAATAGGTTTTGGAAATGTTGATGCAATATATGCAAGTGCACAAGTTCCCTGAAAATAGTTAAAATGAGAAACTGCTTTATTAATATGATATAAGGGCATAAAGCTAATTCATATTTTGCTCCTTTACTGTACATATTTGAAGAGATCAGCTTGAGAAGAGACAAGACAAAAATATCTGATTTTATGTTTTGTTTTCTAGCCTCAGCATTTAGGATGAATTCCCTTGTGTGTGTTTTATGTCTTCTCTGCTCATAGCTGGAGGTGTAAGCTTTCATTAATAAAGTTATACAGTCATAAACAAGGACCTAAAACCTTTTTTACCCATAGGTCCAGCATGGATGGTTCTATTTGTTACTTAGCCAGGAATTCCTCAGTTTGCTGCAGCTGAAAGCAAACCATGCTGTGTCTAAACTTACCAAAAATAAAAATATATTCTAATTATCTATTACCATTGTAGAGGTGGGCAGATAAAATAAGAAAAACAGTATTAGATAGGACAAAGTTTTAAGACACAGGAAATAAACTTGCCTCTTGTGCCCTCTTGTGGTCAAGTTATAGAAGTTGAGCTAATTACCTTTGGTTTCTCAAGCTCAATGTCATTGGTTAAACTATTCCAAGTAAGTAATTTCACATAAAATGAATCTATCTTTAAAAATCAAATGATTCATTTAATTTAATTGCCTATAATGTCCCCTTCATAGATATACAACGATACCTGTTTTTCTTTAAAATATATAGAAAAATAGATAGAAAGACGCAGCCAATGTCCAGGTGGAATTAAAAAATCCTGGATAAGAGAGAGATAAGACCAGGCTTGATCTAGGTTGATGAGTGCATCCTGGCTTTTCTGGTATACCAGGGCCAGGGCTCCATCAGGCTAAATGTTCATCTGAAGCTTTTCTTGTGAGTTGATGTGCAAAACATGTGAAGACACATTTTACCCCTAAAAGGTTAGCATTTACATTTAGAGCAAAAGTATATTTTAAGAAATGTAACCAGAGCGAAAAAGGGACCAACTTTAAATTAATTCCATCTTTTTTAAATTGTCTTTTATACATATTTTTTAAGCCCTTTGTCTACCTTTATTTAGATTTTAACACGACATCATAAGATACTGTATAATGAGGTTAGTGGTTGTGATTACCCAAAAAACTCTTGCAAATGAATTTACATGGAATGGGGGAAAAATGCAAAGACTGATTGAAAAAAGGGAAAAATGTGATCTTTCAAGATTAACCAATTTCCATGCAGTTTATGAAATTCCGAGTTCCTGCCATGATTTCCATAATAGCTGAAGAAAAGTTAGTCTTTGGTATTAGTTCACCAGATTTTATTTTCTAAAGACAAACAGCATCTCCATTCTGGTAACATAAAACAAGTTTAGCCAAACAGCTCTGTACTTTTTACACCAAATGAAAGGCTTAAATCTTTCATTATCTGGTATTAAGGCACATTTTAAAGCCAAAAGTTATATACCGGTATATTATTACAGAAGTATCAACCCTTACATATTACACTACAAGTTCAAGTAAAACGATCTCTCAATCGATGAGGAATTTCAAACATGTTTAAAAAATACTCTAAGATTTGGTCTTCTTTGGTCTGAGACACTGACCATGCAGGTGTAAAATTGAGCAGTTTGTAACGCTCACTCCAGATTTCAATAAATACAAATAAACCCACTGTTATAAAAAGAGGAGTTTGAAAGGTCACCTGCAGCCCCTTGGTTCTCCAAAAAAAGTAGTTGGAAAATGTAAAACTCATGAGTGAATTGAGCTCAGTGCGGCTTAAATAAGTGCAATCTACTAAAAATGTTGTACAACGGTGTTTAACACAAACATGATTTTCATCTAAAATGGACACTTAGTGTTGCAGGCATCTCCTGATCTGAAAAGTCCATAAACGCTGACCAGTGGAAACATGGACACAGCACCAAGCATGGACCCCAGCTGCACTACGGCACCACACCACACGAGGGCACTGTGCCCCTCATCCCTCAGAATGACCCCGATGATAACCTTCACATAAGACAGGGAGAGGACAAATAGGATCCAGGCCAGCACCTGCAACAGAGAGACAGGGTCCATAATGAGCCTGAAATCACATCTGCTCTCTGTAATGCAAAATGAAATGATAGAGCAACATTTCCTGGTGTAATATCAGTTACACGCATATATTGTTTATGTATTTTCGAAAAATCTCTGTCTCTAAATGGAGCAGCCAGAGGATCATCTCCTTTATGTCATATTTTATGGTTGTTTTTTTGATATTCTACTTCTTATTAGGTTTTCCTTTTAAAATGTGTCTCACATTATGATTTTGTGAGGTAAAGTAAATGAACAACATTATTAGATATATTTGATCCTAAATCTAGTCCAACCTTAGTAGAATACCCTTCAGCAGCAAAAACATTGATTATTTACTATTAGGATGATAAGAGCAGTTTTTTTTTAAGCTTAACTGACTGCTACCAGAGCTCCCATTCTCACTCATTTAGTTTACCACAAGGATGACATTTTTATACCAATGTAAACAATTTTGCAATAACTAAATAATTCAATGACAATGTTTATTGCTCATATTTTTGTTTTTTTTTGTTTTTTACTTTTGTTTTTTACCCTGCTTTTTAAATAGTTTTCCGAAATCACAAATGTTACTAGTGAAAATGTAAGTTTTAACATTTTAAATGAAAGTGATTAGAAAACGTGATATTAGTAATTTGTAATGCTTTTATTTTGTGGTTAATCCCTTGCAAAGACATACCTGTTATACCTTATAGTTATATATATATATATATATATATATATATATATATATATATATATATATATATATATATATATATATATATATATATATATATATATATATAGTTATAGATTTGTATTTAGTGCCCCTTAAGTCAGTTATTTGTAAATCCACATTTTAATGCATTTAAATATCAAAGTCTATTGATAATTATTTCTCTCAGCTTCCCTATGGTGGAAAGAGAAACTGTTTACATCTGTTAACAACTTTTTAGAAGTTCCACTGCAGATGCACAACGGAATTCAGGCCTTCGCTTCGACTTAACCATTCTGTCACATTACCATATGCCTCAATCTACACCCCCCCCATTTAAGCTCTAGTTGCCTGTTCAGGGTCAGTGTCCTCCTGGGAGCTGAACCTCCCCCGGGTTTCCAGTTTTTGTGGACAGTAACTGGTTTTCTTTGAACATTTCCGAGTATTCAGCTTGATCTCACCCACTCCCACCTCTGGTTAGCTCATCCATGCATTTTCTCCACAGCTTAATGTTATGAAAACCATTATTAAATGTGGCAAACAATTCTTCAGGCTAATGAGTTTTAATAATCTGTTAATAGAAAACAGGCATCTTACAATGACTGCGGTTCCAGAGGTGGAGTGGACCATTAGAGGGCAGGGGCTCAGAGCTGCCATGGCCATGATGTACGCTCCAAAACCAGTACCAAAGGCAGTCAAAAATCCCATAAAGATAAGAGATCTGGACAAAGATGACAATGAGTTCAAATTTTAGGTCAACAAATTACATAAAAGATTTAATATAAATATAGAACATACACTATATTGCCAAAAGTATTTGCTCACCCATCCAAATTATTGGAATCAGGTGTTCCAATCACTTCCATGGCCACAGGTGTATAAATTCAAGCACCTAGGCATGCAGACTGTTTTTACAAACATTTGTGAAAGAATGGGTCGCTCTCAGGAGCTCAGTGAATTCCAGCGTGGAACTGTGATAGGATGCCCCCTGTGCAACAAATCCAGTCGTGAAATTTCCTCGCTCCTAAATATTCCACAGTCAACTGTCAGCTGTATTATAAGAAAATGGAAGTGTTTGGGAACGACAGCAACTCAGCCACGAAGTGGTAGGCCACGTAAACTGACGGAGCGGGGTCAGCGGATGCTGAAGCGCATAGTGCGAAGAGGTCGCCAACTTTCTGCAGAGTCAATCACTACAGACCTCCAAACTTCATGTGGCCTTCAGATTAGCTCAAGAACAGTGCGCAGAGAGCTTCATGGAATGGGTTTCCATGGTCGAGCAGCTGCATCCAAGCCATACATCACCAAGTGCAATGCAAAGCGTCGGATGCGGTGGTGTAAAGCACGCCGCCACTGGACTCTAGAGTAGTGGAGACGCGTTCTCTGGAGTGACGAATCGCGCTTCTCCATCTGGCAATCTGATGGACGGGTCTGGGTTTGGCGGTTGCCAGGAGAACGGTACTTGTCTGACTGCATTGTGCCAAGTGTAAAGTTTGGTGGAGGGGGGATTATGGTGTGGGGTTGTTTTTCAGGAGCTGGGCTTGGCCCCTTAGTTCCAGTGAAAGGAACTCTGAATGCTTCAGCATACCAAGACATTTTGGACAATTCCATGCTCCCAACTTTGTGGGAACAGTTTGGAGCTGGCCCCTTCCTCTTCCAACATGACTGTGCACCAGTGCACAAAGCAAGGTCCATAAAGACATGGATGACAGAGTCTGGTGTGGATGAACTTGACTGGCCTGCACAGAGTCCTGACCTCAACCCGATAGAACACCTTTGGGATGAATTAGAGCGGAGACTGAGAGCCAGGCCTTCTCGTCCAACATCAGTGTGCGACCTCACAAATGCGCTTCTGGAAGAATGGTCAAAAATTCCCATAAACACACTCCTAAACCTTGTGGACAGCCTTCCCAGAAGAGTTGAAGCTGTTCTAGCTGCAAAGGGTGGACCGACGTCATATTGAACCCTATGGATTAGGAACGGGATGTCACTTAAGCTCATATGTGAGTCAAGGCAGGTGAGCAAATACTTTTGGCAATATAGTGTATATTATAAGAGGATGAGATATTTCATAAAAAGAAAAAAACAAATAATCATTGAATATGTATTGCATCTGTGTCTTTTTCTCACCTTACTGGAGCAAACATGGCAATGAAGCAGGCTACAGGGTTGGCAACAGCAGCCATAGTGGCAGCCAGGTGGTAGGCTTTGTTTCCATAAGGCAGACAGGAGTAGGATTGCACGGAGGGCAGCACTGCATTGGTTAACGCATTGACCCATGCCAGCACTATAAAGATGAACAAAACCTCTAGGTTGCTATATGTCCCCTTTCCAAAGGAGCTCCGTGGTTCTTTCCCAGCAGCCTCTCGAGGACTAATCATTGGCTTTTGTTCTGGTGTTTGGGCATGCAGAGAGAAACCCTGCTCCCCCTTCTTGTTTTCCAGATCTTGACCGAAGTATCGGTCGCTGTTCCTTTCTCGAGCCACAGCTGGATGGAGGTTAAGTAGGATGAAGGCTATCAGGCACACGACCATCATGGCACTCAGGAAAATAAAGAAAACTTGGACAGAGAATTTAGCCGGCTGGTAGACCGCTCGTAGCTCATCACTGCTCACCAGGCTGGAGTTAGGCGCTGATGAGTTTACAGCCAGAGTTGCATTTTCACAGTGGACTATACCCACTCCCTGAATCAAAGCCACAACTGCAGGCACCAGGCCACTTAAGCCTTCTCCTGCAAAGTATGTTGTGAGATACTGTGGACGCAGACGCATCATGAAGGGCAGGAAGGTGACTGATGAAGTGCAGTCCACAACAGATAGCAGGAAGCTTAAAGTCAGCAGGGGCACACTGTGCAGACGGTCAGCAAATATCACTGTGTGCTTCCAGAAGAAAGCTAACAGGAACGTAGCAACGATTCCTAACCCTGTGATGCAGTAGATGACGGGCCGCTCGTCCAACACACCCGGGCGAAACCGATGCATAAGAGTGATGAAGAGAGGGCCTATGTTGGCCATTTGGATGAGGACTGTGAGATAAGAGGGTAGGTACCATCCCTCTGGGATCTCAGGGACAACCAAGGGAAGCTCCACCCACATCCCATTGATGGCCACCCAGGAGCCCATACCAAAAAGGCACGCCAGCACGTGAGTCAGCAGTGACATGTTGAAGGTAGGAATGAGGTAGGGCAGGAAATAAAGAGGAGCACAATCTGAAAGAAAAAAAAAGAACAACAGAAGATCATTATGTTAATATAAGTTTTGAAAATTGGACCTTTTTATATTCAGAAATTCTGTAACTGTGTTTCAATCTACAGTCAGATACAGTGTTAGGCCTTTTTTTAACATAGGATCGGCAGCGGACATGATAGACATGTTTAAGCTTTAAGTTTGTGTACTGTAAAGTACATATTTTGTAGTATTGGTGCTTAAAACCAATTATAATTTTGAGACAAAGTATTAAAGAAGAGGAAAAGTAAATGCAAGACGTCTAAAACTTGGTCCCTTAACTGAAAGTTAATGCATTAACATCACTTAATGCTTTACAGGACCTAAGATCTAAGTAGGCTATGAAAGGCAAATGTTTGGAGACAGTTATGTGTATTACTTTAAAATTTATTGAAAATCTGAAACATATTGATTGTTAGACAAACAACTTTGTGTGAAGTCGCTGGTATGGATTTAGTTTGAAAAGAATTTCAACTCAAAGGGAATAAGTCTCTTAGTTGTTAGGGTTTTTTGTTGTTTTTTTTTTTACCTACACACTTTTGCTAATTCAGCCCAAATATCTGTGTTTATCTATTTCAAATATCTATTTTTTTCTCTTAGAAAGTTAAACTTCAGTTTATTTGAATTCACATTTGGATTCACTGTTTTGCTAAAAATTGTAAAAAAATAAAATAAAAATAAATAAAATTTAAAAAGTCTGTATTTAGCATAATGAATATCATAATCCACCTTCAGGAAAATGTATGTACTTGTCTGAAAATTATAAAGCCCAGATGGGCCACAAAGATCTCCTTTATTCCCCCTGTCTACATTTTTTTGTGATGTACAATATCGTTTTTGTGCAAACACAGTGTAAAAATATTCTGGTTTGCTTCCTTCAAACAAATTCCATCCCACACCAAAAAGAGAGAATTTTGTGAGAATATACGTAGCAAGGTCAGGATGTTTTCTTGGGAATTTAATCTCATATAGAACACAATCAGCACCAGCTGGATATTTCTGTAAATGTAGCAACTCTCTCTTCTCTTTTTCTCTTTCAAAATAAGAACTTTTTCATGATCTTGGTTTAGCTAAAGCTGGATATTTTAGGAAGTGTCACACAGGCTTTATATAGAGTTTGCACATTAATGCAACAGGGTGATTCCAACATTTATTTTCATTTCTCTTGAAATATTAGATTGTTCTTTACTTGATTATCAACTGAATAAATGTAACTGTTCTGTTTGAGATCCACTGTTTGAAATTCTACAGGACTGTTTACAGTTTACTCTTATCTAATTCAGGACCAGGTGTAGCTTAGTAATGCAACTAGTCTTCAGGCCCTCAGAGCTGTAGCATTTATCCACTTTTCAATGTTTTTCTTTATTAAAAAACAACCAAAGGTACCATGATCAGCTGTTAACCTAAGAAGCAGGTAGATCAATAATAAACGTAGAGGCTGCACTTAAAGAGTGAAAATTTATGTTAAAGACAGAAAACGGAATGAACAGTGGGAGGTTGATCCTCAGTGAGGGAAGTTTTCCCATGCTGGCAAATGGTGTTGGACGATGAGAAAAAAAAAAGTAAAAACATAAATTCCTCTAAAATTTAAAGGCACCTTAAAGTAGGGACAATTTTAAGAAATAGATGAGAACATTGAAGAGATATTAAACATTTTTCCCACAAACCTTTTCTCTAATATCTTTAGCTAAACTAGTGTTTTTTTTTAAGATTATTATTTTGATTCTGAAGAATACAGACTGTGTACTAAAAAGATACTCACTAAATTGTCCTTCTTGTTAACATTCTGTCATTTAAAAAAGAGAAGACAATAAAAGAATGGAAAAAAGATATTGAGAAATGTCTGATATATGGCCTACACGTGGTCAATAATAAAGAATTTGTCTAATCTATTTTGTATATAAAATACAAATATGGCTGTTTTTTTTTTATCTAAAGTGCTGAAAAAGTATTCATCACTCTCAAACTACTTGGTCAATTACTGTCAACCTGTGGTAGTTCTTCCTATATGCTTCTTTGATCTGTTAACAGAAAAGGTTTACATAGTATCTGAATAAGGAAATCGAATTTCTAGAACAATATTTGAAACCGATTTTCTTCCCTGATTCATTACTTAGTGCTTGAGTGAAACTGCGTCTAGGACTGACCTTCCAAATGTCTTTCTTTACCTCTGCTTCCATCTATATAGCATGTGCTTTGTAACTATGGATGGCTGACCTTTCACACACTGACATAGTACTGCTCCCATAAAAAGAACCAGGACACAAACAGACATAATAAAGTGCAACAACTGTTAATTAAGATGTTATTATGTTATGTGAAGGATTAGCAGTAAAATCATTCCAAAAATAATCAAATGAGTGAAAAAATACGTGGCTTTTAAAAAATAGTACAAATGAATTATATCAAGTCAATGTTGCAATAAAAAAGCAGTTAATGATGAAAATCTGATCTAAACTCAAGGGTAAATACATTTTGTAATTATAATGTTATTACACAATGGTTGCTGTGTGATTAATAGCCGGCTTTTACTTCCTGCATTTTTGTCTTGAATCCTTTAATCTTACATTGATACCTTCAAATATTATCTCAGACTTTAAACTAACCAAATGAAATGAAATAAATCACATTTCAGTTACTTAAATAAGCTGGCAATCCAGTAACCTTCAACTCTTTGTTCAATGAGGCAAATGTAATTTATAGGAAGCAGAACTAATTCCCTTACCTCGCTCAGAGTTACAGCTCTTCTCTGACCTCCCGCCTTTTAAAAACCTTCACCCCACGAGGATCTGTTTTTTTTTTTCTACATTTGTTACCTGCATGTGTGTTTGTCAACCCCCTCCCACACTTCTTCTCCCCCCCACAAACACTGACTCTGAGAAAAGCTTACACTCAGCTTCCTTGTCTCTAGTCTGTGGGGGAGGAGGTACTGCAGAGGTGCGCATGTGCTTTACCACCATGACACTTGCATCATCTCCCTGTTAGAGGGTGGTTTCAAAAGCAGGCAACCATGTGCTCTGTGTGTTTCATGGAGCTCTGTAATAGGAGGAAGGGCAGTGACGTGGGAAGCCCTCCCTTTTTACTCTCCCATCCCTCTCCCAACCAGAATTTAGGCCCTGTGATCTTACCTCAGTTAAGAACAACGGATACTGAGAACCAGAGGAGGAAACTTTTTAAAGTTCAAATCCTTGCTGTTCCCTTTTCTTCTTCTTTGTGTGTTGTTTCTTTGTGACTTGTCCCTTTGAACCATACAAATAATTTGAATTATACGCTAGTTTTAAAAATAATGCTTAGGTTTTATTAAGATTAACCAACTGAGAGGACCAGTCAGTCAAGTTCACCTTTTTTCAACGGAAACACACAAAACAACCCAGTTTAAATTTCCTATGAAAAATAACTTAAACAGAGATCTTCCTTGGAATTCTGTCAACCTAAAAAAAAAAATCAACGGCTGGGTGTTTGGAATTTTTCTTGGAAATATCTAACGGTAAAATAAAAATGCCAAAGGCGATAATAGATAAAACATAGCATGAGGAATTTAAATTTGAAACACAGCAGGGAAATGCTGAAATAAAAGTATGCATATGCAGCAGTGCTATGATAGTCCTGTAGAAATCAAACTGATTGCTCCTGGAGCAGCTCAGTCAAAACAGCACCTTGATTCAAGGTTGTCTGAGAATACGATGTGTTCAGACGAGGTGAAGAAGAGAGCACAGACAGAGTTGTGCACATTTATAAGTATATTCTATTGTTTTAAAGATAAAAAAAACAGGTTATTCAAGATAAAATTTAGTGAGCTAGAAGGTTGCTATTCCATTTTAATGGAAATGTACATAGGCAACATTATTTTACATAAAAAAAGCTCTGATCTTAGATATTTTCAAAAAAAACAGGAAACTCTTTTCTAATTGGCAGCGATATCTAATTGATTTTAACAGTCTGATACAAACCTGATGTATCAATTCAGTTTTTTGAGATGAAGTTTCAATATATTCTAAGTTTCTGTATTATATCTAGATTTTGTTTTTGTTTCTCTTTAAATAAATTTACTGCATTATTTTAGCAAATTTGTTTGCTTTGTTTCCTTTTACTATATTTTGGATAATCTTTCATCATTTCAATTGTGCTTAATAAATACATTTGCATTCACTGTTACTCTAAAATTCCTAATATGTTGCAGTCAGAAAATAAATTCCACTAAACATTTTCTGCTAATCATTAACAGATCAACATTTTATTTAATTAAAACACATAGCTCCTACCTGGCTGGGAAAGTGGATATAGGGTCTCACGGTGTCGTTACACAAGCGGTGCCCTGCTGAGATGTTGTGTCCTTGTGATGTTGCTGTCTATGGAGAATATATGCACAGTTGTAGGTGTTGAACTGTGCTAGTCTAAATCTTTGTCATGTGACCAGTGAAGGCTGAGCAGGGAGTTCACAAAGTTTCTCTGCAATGAGGGGAAGGAGGAGATGGGAAGGAGGAAAAAACACAGAATAGTGAGTTAGAACATTATTTTCTAAGCAGAATGGACAAAATGAAGAATTAAAGGCTGTTAGATTATTGAATGAACTTAATTTTACCTCAGCTTTGAATTGCATGAGTAGGCTGCCAAACTTTCCAAGCTCTCTGAGTTGGTGTCTGGTCAGGGTCACTCTGGCATTAGTTCAGAACACATTCCATTAGAAAGACCCCTGTGGGGTCCTCATTTGCCTGAATGGCCTATGATTGGTGCCCTTACACCCACCTCTGTTCTGGCTGGTTCTCCTTGTCTCCCTCCTGATGAGAAATAAAACACTAGTTTCTTTGTTAACTCATGACTACCGAAGCAAATAGCTTTTAATACCTGAAACATTTTTAATTACACTTCAATCTGAAAAATTCACACGAAGAGAAAAGATAATTAGGAGAAATTTATTGATACAATTACTTTGTCTTAGGCACTCAGACCTCGGTAGAAAAAATATAGTGCTTAATTTGGATAGCTATGCATGAACAGGAGCAAAGAATAGGGCTGTTTCCCCCAAGGCCTGAAACTGGTGGTGGAGTGGAGATAGATGAAGTTGGTCAGTCTGTAGACTGCTGGTTAGTGAGAGGGTATGCTGAGCTTAATGGGGAGATCCAGTGGATTGAATGGGCTGATACTACATACTCAGGGACCTGGAAGATGGAATTCCAGTTGGATAACACAGGTTGAGAGAACCTGTCCATCATGAGCAAGCATGGAGCGACAGTGGAGAGGAAAAACTCCCCGTTGGGAAGAAACGTGAAGAAAGGTGTGTATCGAAGGCCTTTTAAGATTATCTTTGGATGCCGATTAGCTTTCGTGAAGGTGTGGTTCAAAGCTGATTGGCTGCGTCGCAGGTGGATATAGGAGAGCAATGAGTTTCTTCAGGTGAACTTCCGCCTAGTCTCCATTTTAAAAACTATGTGTAACAAACAAACTAATTTTGATGCTGTTATCAATGCAGGCTCTGATCAAACAGGGACAAATGGAGCACTGGTTTAATTTTAAGTGTATTGTTTGTCCCAGGATACCTAAAACTGTGTTAACGATGTATGAAATAAAAGCTGCTAGTAACCTATAACCACCAAAATATAATATCTGGTTTTACCTTTTGACTTATTGTTATTTGTTAAGATATAAAATACAAATATAATATAGTTTTTCACTTCTCAGTGTTTCTTTGTTTTTGAATTCAAAGTTTAACCGTTTATAGGGCACTCAGGGAAATACTTTGAAAAAAAAAAATTCATGCCAAGAGTGTTATTGGAATCCAGGACGACCTTATTACCTTTGGAACATTAAAATATATATATATATATATATATATATATATATATATATATATATATATATATATATATATATATATATATATATATATATATATATATATATATATATATTTTGATGGCAAAAATTTGTGTTATAATAAGAAACGGCCACTTGCCCTAATATACTAAGAAAAATTTAAAAAAGCGCTTCTATAAGAAATTCATGAAAGAAACAAATTTTTTTTGTTACACCATAAAACTAGAGGCATTAATGCTAATACAAGCGCTAACATATTTTACTTTTTCTTAACATAGCTTATTAACTGTTTCACTTTACTTTTTTAATTTTCAATTAGCTTTTTAACTTTTTGCTTAGCTTTTACTTTATTAAAGTTTTTTAAACTTTTTTTACTTAATCCACAATAGGTAATACATTGTTCAGGGGGCTAGGGTCGTTTAATTGGTCAAATTCCATATAAGATGTACAGCTCTGCAGCAGTATCTTTGCTGATTGGTTGGATTTAGATCTTGTGCTTCTAGACCTCACTGAAGGATGGGGTGGTGATAAAAAAACAGTAACTTGCCCTATAAAGGGTTAAATAAGCTGTAAGATTATCACAATAAAAACAAATAATGGCTAAACCCCACAAAAAAGGAAAGTTCAAAAACCTAGCTGGTCTATATTCATTTATTTTATGAATTTTCTGTGGTTGATTAAGGATGTTAAGCCTTACACCAGCATTCATCATTTACTTAGAAGATGCGAGTTCAACTTAAATAGTTGTTTAGTTTTTATCTAAAATCTTCTACAGAACCTGAGATTAAAGCCTGACATTAATTGTTATGCATCTTTTTTTTTTTTTTTTATAATTTTATCCTTTTATTTCATTCTGTATCAAAGGCTAGGTGACGTCTACTCAGGTGTGTTTGCAGAACAATGAGCCTCCTTTTAGTCTCCTCCCTCAGCCTACAAACTGGATTACAGTAAGGGATCCAGTGTTTAGTTAGACCTACCCAGTTTCTGTCCTAACACCATAACTCCCTGTTTGGGTCAAAACAATAAGCCGGTAGTTCCTGTGTGACTCTCAGCACCTGTATGGGGCTCTGCTGTGGCACAGAGTCAAAGTGAATATTTAGACAGAACTCCAATACTCTATTTTCTTTCTCCAAACTGTTTAGACAAATCTGTGGGTGTGTGTTTGGCACTGCATGTTCTGGATGGGTACATGATGTGAAACGCATCAACAGGAGAGCAGCCTAAGCTGGGAATCCACATATAACATTTCTCCCATTGGGATTTCAACACTGAATAAGACACATAACCAACCTGACCTTCAGCCTGCTTCTCTGCTAAAAGAGACTATTAGGATGATTGCGCAATGTTTCAGGTTTGCTGTGATGTGGTGGTTAGAATATCACTGCAGTCAAACATAAAAATAAACTGAAATCACTGAACTAATACCTGTGTTTTATGAGAACTAGGTAGGAATTGACACTGTAATGGTGATTGTTTGTCAAACCAAACATCCAGTAAAGTTCCAATAAGCCACTGCTGAGGCACTGGGGTCACATTTTCTTGACACAGGCAAAAGACGTTGAAGTCAAAACTTGTAGATGTTCAGTTGATTTATATCCTATATTTTAGAAACATTACAGAGTTCAAACATTACTTTGCTCTGTTACCTCTCTTGCACTGTTAAAAAACCATAGGCCCCTAACTCAAATGCCTGCTGGTCCTTACCAGACTCCTACATTTATAGAAAGTGGACCGCCCACATTTCTTTCTATTTTACATAATAAAGAAAGAAAAATGATAAAACAACAAAAAATAAATACACAAATTCAACAAATAACCTATAAATAAACTCTGTAAATATTACAAAAAATATATAAATTTAAGAATAAAATAACAAAGTTCAAATGGACAAAGTGATAAAGGAGAATAGCTCCAACAGACACGCTTAATGTTTTATGCAGTGGCATTACTTTTAAAGGTCTAAAATTGCAGGGAATCTTAAGAGAAGACAAATCAAGTTTTCAGGGGGCCCGTCTTCAACTGGACCTGCTGATGGGCAGCTGGATCCACCGGGGGCCTCTTGAAGATGGATGGATCCAACTCTGGCTTACCTGCCACCGTGGCTAAAATAGAAAAGAGCAGCTTAGAAAATGTGCCAACATTACAGTTTCCACATTTTATGGAATTTTTATGGAATGAAAAAAAAAATGGATCAATAATTCAGAAAGAAGCAGCAGCTTCTGGCTATCCACCTTTACCAATGACCCATGATGCTTTGCATGATCCCACGTTTATTCTTAAATGGGACTCTTGGAGAACAATAACATTTACAATGTAAATGGGATGATAAAATCCTAACTAAAAGTGTGGCTTTCAAAGATTCGAAGGATGGACTCTGTTTCTATATATTACCACGCATTTTTTTTTGTATAAATGTATAAATCAACTAGTTCAGCATAGATTTCGTGTTTCTCCTTTTAAGAAACGCTTGGATCAGTAGAGTGTTCCACAAAAATAAAGATGCAGTCTTCTCTAATGGATGTTATTAATACCAAATAGGGAGAGTATTATACATTGATAAATTGCATTCATCCATGAAATACAAATACTTTAATCATTATTTATCAATCTGGGATCAGATCTGATCCTCTGTCAGCAGGGCTATAAATCTCTTTTTAGAAGCTGGTGCTTCTTCCTTGGTAGAAGGTTTTATTGTTGACAAAGTGCTGAAGGCGTAATTTAGAATTTCACTGAAAGTGCATATGCAGGTACAGCAAAAAGTAATCATGTGTCGACATGTCTTCATGTGAGAAGAACGTACTACTTACTGTAAGCATGTATTAATTGTAAAGCAGGAATTTGGGGAGGTCATGGTTCCGGGATGGTCTGCCTCAATAGGAGCTAAAAAGCTGGGGAAATGGGCGGCCAGTTTAAAACACCCAACTGAAACCCTAATCATGGCAGTGAGCCAATAAACAGCAGTAAATCCACCAAAATTGGCTGTTAATTACTAAATTGATAGTCTTGAAAAGATTCAGTTGGCTTTTAGTGTCAGCATAGCAAAAACTGGGCATATTGTCACCAACTGACTTTTTTCTTGGAGTTGGTCTTCCTCCACTTAGAAAGACATAAGCAGAATAAAAGTAGGAGGAAGATGAAGAAACTGGTCTCTTTTTTTTTAGAGGCTGTTTTTTTGTCTTGGCAACCTTCTTGGTTTTTGTTTTATCAGAGGTATCAGTCGTCTTTGCATCTTAGCATTCTTTTTTTTGGACCTGCTGTACTGCAGTAGATATTGACAGGACTTATCTTTTTAGCTTGGCAAAATGAACCAAGGATTATTAGGCTTCATCCTTAACTAGAAAGACTTACAATACTTTTCCTCAATAACAACACAATATCATAAAGAGAGTCTCAAAATCTTCTGATTTTATTACAAAAAAAAACTGTTTATGTACAAATAGATTCAAAACGATTAGTGAATATCATCTACATATTCCCAAATATGTAATCAGACTGGGGAGACTTGGTTACAATGCAGAAAGATCAGAGTGCATAGCAATAGGACAGAAAGCTGGCTCTTTGTATTTATACATTTAAGAGTATTTTATGAAGGACCAACTCTGCCATATTTAAAAATAAATACAGAAATAAATAAATGCTCAATAAATGTATAAGCATACAATTAATTGCCAACAAAAAAGTGAGACATAAATGTATATAACTCTTAATTAGCTTCTTTATTTATTTGCCTTTGTAATATTTACCTTATTTATATAGCTCCGAAGCTGACGGCAGCCAGGTCCGACCACAGCCCATCTGAAGCGGCCCTCTCTCGGCATAGCCGTGTGTGAAGCGTGTTGGTTATCATTTTACTACATCGGTCGAATCTACAGGAGGAGAGTCTGATGTCGAGTCTGAAGTCAGAACTTGAGTAGGGACTTTGCCAAACTTTGCCAAATACAACAAAAAATCGCCATCATAGCCTGGCTATAGACCTGGCTGCCGTCAGCTTCGGAGCTCCGCTGGTTGCCACGGTCCTCTCAAGTTCGTCACATTTTCTTTTAAATTACGCATTAAATCTGTGAATGGGCCATATGGTGATGCTTAAAAGTATAAGGTTCTCGCCTCAAATGATCTTAAAACATACTTTTATTGAACAACAGCAACAGAAAAGAGAACATTTAACTTACAGGTGCTGGTCATAAAATTAGAATATCATGAAAAAGTAGATTGATTTCAGTAATTCCATTTAAAAAGTGAAACTTGTATATTATATTCATACATTACATACAAACTCATATATTTCAGATGTTTATTTTGTTTAATTTTGATGATTACAAATGACAACAAATGAAAATCTCAAATTCATCATATCAGAAAATTAGAATATTGTGAAAAGGTTCAAAATTGATGGCCCCTGGTGCCACACTCTAATCAGCTAATTAACTCAAACCACCTGCAAAAGCCTTTAAATGGTCTTTCAGTCTAGTTCTATAGGCTACACAATCATGGGGAAGACTGCTGACTTGACAGTTGTCCAAAAGACGACCATCGACACCTTGCACAAGGAGGGCAAGACACAAAAGGTCATCGCTAAAGAGGCTGGCTGTTCACAGAGCTCAGTGTCCAAGCACATTAATAGAGAGGCGAAGGGAAGGAAAAGATGTGGTCGAAAAAAGTGTACAAGCAAGAGAGATAACCGCACCCTGGAGAGGATTGTGAAACAAAACCCATTCAAAAATGTGGGGGAGATTCACAAAGAGTGGACTGCAGCTGGAGTGAGTGCTTCAAGAACCACCACACACAGACGTATGAAAGACATGGGTTTCTGCTGTCGCATTCCTTGTGTCAAGCCACTCTTGAACCACAGACAGCGTCAGAAGCGTCTTGCCTGGGCTAAAGAGAAACAGGACTGGACTGCTGGTGAGTGGTCCAAAGTCATGTTCTCTGATGAAAGTAAATTTTGCATTTCCTTTGGAAATCAAGGTCCCAGAGTCTGGAGGAAAAGAAGAGAGGCGCTTCATCCACGTTGCTTGAAGTCCAGTGTAAAGTTTCCACAGTCAGTGATGGTTTGGGGTGCCATGTCATCTGCTGGTGTTGGTCCATTGTGTTTTCTGAGGTCCAGGGTCAACGCAGCCACATACCAGGAAGTTTTAGAGCACTTCATGCTTCCTGCAGCTGACCAACTTTTTGGAGATGCAGATTTCATTTTCCAACAGGACTTGGCACCTGCACACAGTGCCAAAGCTACCAGTACCTGGTTGAAGGACCATGGTATCCCCGTTCTTAATTGGCCAGCAAACTCTCCTGACCTTAACCCCATAGAAAATCTATGGGGTATTGTGAAGAAGAAGATGCAATACACCAGACCCAACAATTCAGAAGAGCTAAAAGCCACTATTAGAGCAACCTGGGCTATCATAACACCTGAGCAGTGCCACAGACTGATCGACTCCATGCCACGCCGCATTGCTGCAGTAATACAGGCCAAAGGAGGCCCAACTAAATACTGAGTGCTGTACATGCTCATACTTTTCATGTTCATACTTTTCAGTTGGCCAACATTTCTATAAATCCTTTGTTTTTATTGGTCTTCAGTAATATTCTAATTTTCTGATATGATGAATTTGAGATTTTCATTTGTTGTCATTTGTAATCATCAAAATTAAACAAAATAAACATCTGAAATATATGAGTTTGTATGTAATGTATGAATATAATATACAAGTTTCACTTTTTAAATGGAATTACTGAAATCAATCTACTTTTTCATGATATTCTAATTTTATGACCAGCACCTGTAGTACTCTGAGCTCTGTGAGTTAAGAAGATGGACCGCCAAGCCAACCAATGAGCAGAAGTTGACTCTCTAGGACACACCCCCTCCTCATTTGCATAATGACATAGAAATGCATAGAGAAATGTAAAAAGGGCAGAGAGAAATAAACAGCGGCGAAGAAATAACTAAGGTAAAAATACGACGGAGTATTAGGGCCACACATGAGGAGAACAAATATTTTTGTCATGACGAGATTAAACTCGACATGTCAACTTTAAAGTCGACATGTCGACTTTAAACTCGCCATTTCTAGAATAAAGTTGAAATGTCTTGTTGAGTTTAATCTCGACGTGTCGACAATAAAGTAGAAATTGGTTCAAGAGAGCCAACCGCTGCACAGGTTACATGCACAGAATCCAGAATCAGACGTGCCTTGTGTAGATGATTTGGTCAAATTGTACTTTCTGTGATGATTATACAGTTATACAGTTGCAGCACGTCAATGACTACCTTCACTCTTAAAACGCAGACTGCAGCTGTGGAGCGCGGTTGCTCTTTTCTCCAAACTTTGGAATGCCGAGATTAAAGTCGCCACGATATATCAACTTTATTCTCGAAATGGCGAGTTTAAAGTCGACACGTCGAGATTAAACTCAACAAGACATTTCAACTTTATTCTCGAAATGGCGAGTTTAAAGTCGACATGTCGACTTTAAAGTCGACATGTCGACTTTAAAGTCGACATGTCGAGTTTAATCTCGTCATGGCAAAAATATTTTTTCTCTTCATGTGTGGCCCTAATACTCCGTCGTATAAAAAAATACAAAGGAAGAATAAAACAGACAAAAATATAATAACATGCACATAAATAAATACTTAAAAATATAAGTAATTAAAAAATAAAGTTGAAGATCGTAAAGGACAGAAAAATAAATAAGGTAAATATTACAAAGGCAAATAAATAAAGAAGCTAATTAAGAGTTATATACATTTATGTCTCACTTTTTTGTTGGCAATTAATTGTATGCTTATACATTTATTGAGCATTTATTTATTTCTGTATTTATTTTTAAATATGGCAGAGTTGGTCCTTCATAGTATTTAGATGTCCAAACAAGAATCATCATGAAAAAGAAGGCTTAACTTACAAAGATTTCTGTTTTTTGACAACTGCATAGACAAAGAAGGAGCAGCTGTCACCAACCTTAGGTACGTTAAATACAAAGCTACCCTCACCAATACAGCAGTTCCACTGTTGATAACATATTGCAGGTATAGTTGGTTTATAATGTAAGATAATAGTAGAAAACAGGCACAGCACATCACTGGACACTGTGAAGAAAACCACCCAAAAAAGGAGCCAAACCAAATGTCCCTCAGGATTATTAGTGATCCTGAAGGATATTTATTACAAGTTTCCTGGACATTTTACAGTAGAAAGGGGATTGGAATATTTCTAAGTGAACTAAATTATTTGAACCATTACTTTGACTAAAAACGTATGCTTTTAAAAAACAAAAATAGTTTATAGTACATGTGGCCCACTTGCTATCAAACATAGTTGTACAATAACAAATGCCAAATTTGCTTCTGAGCAAAACATTATATGTACAGCGATACATGAGAAAAAGTGCATTTTCAGGAGAACAATGTCCTAAACCGGAAACCTTTGTCTAGAAAGTTCAGGGTTGTAAAGAAACAAGTGTATACATGTACAGTAATGTTCAAAGGAAACTCTTAGGAAATGCTATCTATAGGCAGCACCATTCCTGAGAAAATAATCTCTACAAATCAACATTGGCCTGTTCATCACACAATCTCCAGTGTAAAAAACACAAACAAATACCGTAATCATTGGAAAACATGTAAAAAAGGTATAAGAAGAAATCACAATGTGGTCCTGCCAACGACATTGTTCTTATATCACGAAGATTATTATAAAACTTGAGGACAGCCTGGCGTAGCTGTTACAGTAAGTGCTGTGAACAAGTGTTTGCCCCATACAGACATTTACAAGGCTTTTTTATTATTATTTATCAGTCGTTAATATTTAATCTCAAAGATATTCCTGCATTATACAAATTTATCAGTAGTTAACACTAATGTATTTAAATTAGGATTCCATTTATGAAGAGTAAATGTCTATCAGAAAAAAATCTTTTCCATATGTTAAAAAGTAACCCTTTCTCCACACATGCAATTATTGGATCATTAATTAACTGTTTTTACATTAATTATTATTTATTTATTTTTACCATAAACAGGGCTGATAACTTTCAGACCTTTAAAATCTGTAACTGTTAAAGCACGTTAACAAATCTAAAAATGTGTCAATGATAAGGAATTTGAGAAAAGATGAAAAACAAAGCAAATGACATCTATCATTATGAAAAAAATGTTGATTAATCACACTAAAACTTTGGGACTCAAGCAAACAACAGTAAGATTTTTTTTTTTAAAGAATGGGATCAAATTCCTAAACATTCGTGTAAAAGGCTCATTACGTCATTTGGATACAGACGGTAGTGGATGCTTTTAAAGGTGGCAGAACTAATAGGTTTACTGGGTAACAGACCTTTATGCAACCAAGTTGGTTTACATAGCTTTTGCCATTAATAAAAGAACCCACCATCTGCTTATGTGTGTTAATTGTTTTTATGAAATTGATGTACTAAAACATCAAAATGTAAAGTAAGTCTATATGGGCCAATTTATTATCCCAGCACTTCTGTTTCATTTGGACAATCAGAGAAGCAAACCGTAAAACATCACCCCAGGCTGAGTTCTTGCTTTTTAATTCATTTTATAGATTTGGCAAATCGCTGTGCTAATTCACTACTGTCTGTCTTAGCTTATTTTACAAAGACAAAAGAGTGAAATAGAAAAAAAAAATAATAATAATAAAAAGTAGCACTGAATAAAGGAAGACTCTGGCTACCATGCAGCTATTGTCTATGCAGAACTTTCTACTTGCTGTGTAATGGTTAATATATAAAATGCAAGGGGAAAAGGCTTTAGTTTTTCCCTGAATGAACTCTCCATCCGCACAAATACCTTACAGATTACCTACAGCAGCCTGTTCATCATCACTTTCTGGATCATTATTTTATTTCTGCTTCATCTGTAAGCCAGCGTTTTTTTTCCGATGTCATGATTTGCTTTTCCTTTCTCCTTAGGAAGCGTTCTCCTGCTCCGAATCTCTGTTTTGGTGGTGCAGTCATGCAGAAACAGAGGGTGTCATGTCGGCAACCTCTCAGCTTCATCTGAAAACAGAAGGCCAAGGAATACTTCACATTGCCATGTTATGATAGTGAATGGAGCAACTCCAAAGGAAGAATGACAAAGCAGATTTTCTGACCTGAGGGGGAGTTGTCCTCCCCTGCTGTGACAAACTGCAGTTCAGACTCCAGGGCAGCAATAGAGCTCCGAGGACGAATGCATCGGTCACCTGAGAAACTTCGACGGAGTAATGCCTGAAGACATGAAGAACAATTAAGTTAGTATTATTGTGGCAGTATTTGCACAAAAATTATTTTTTTTTTTATCATCTCACTAATAGTAATGGATAAAAAGGAAAATCCTCAATTTTTATTTTTATTTTGAAGCAGCACATTCCACACTGGCAGGTTTGCTGCATTGGATAAGGAAACATAAACAGATGTTTGTAAAACATTTTAACCTTTTAAAATTTTGTCACCTGATAGACACAAAATGAAATGTAAATTATGAGACATTCTGACACAAAGTAGCAAATAATTGTGAATATCTTTGCTGCATGGAGGAGCAGTTGTTTGTATCGACGCCTTGCAGCAAAACAGGTCCTGGGTTCAACTAGCAACTTGGGGTCAATCTGGATTGAGTTTGCATGTTCTGTCTGTCAATGCATGAGTCATCTCCAGGCACACCATCTCACAGTCCATTTTATGTTTGTGCATTATAGGAATCAAAGTTCAGAAACAGAAGTGGCGTAACCTTTACCACTTCTGTAGAAAAGGCTTAATTTTCAACCAAAAAAATGAAGACAAAGATATTTTAATTCACTTTGGTGCATATGAAAATGGGGACCAAATGAACACAAATAATCGTCTCTGCAGATATCAGTTTTATGAGGGTTACTTACCAACTTCACCGAACTTCCATTTAAAGTACAGACAATTGAATATTAAATTAGAACAAACAAACCAGTTTAAGGAATAATATATGAAATACATTTATTATTGTGCTATAACTATCGAACGGGTTTGCCATTTTTCATCTTATACTTTCTGTTTATTCTCTTATTTTAGTCTCAGGCATTTTAACTTTGGTTGCACTGTAAAAAAAATATTTGTATTTGTGAGATGAAAAACTAAATGTTGGACAATAATTCAAGTTATTTCAGAAAACAATGGTAGCTGTAATCTTTACTTTTATCAAGTGTTTCCAGTGCTTACACCTTTAAGTTGTTGATCAAATTCAAAAGGTAAAAGTTCAGATAACTTTCATGTTTTTCTTGTAAAATGTGGGAAAAACCAAGTTTCTGAGTTGGCCTTTTGAGGCAGAGATTCAATGTTCTTTTAATGTTCCATTTCAACTACATAAACAGATGTTAAAGAGAATCAAAATTACATTGTAGGTTCAGGTTTAGGATAATGAAACCTTATTTATTTCTTACTGAAGTTTCAAGTTGACCTGTAGTTAAGTTTCCAGTAATCAGGGTTTGAACTGCCATGAAGTGGCCTACTGTTTTTTTGTTAACTGCATGTCTTACATATGGTTAACTCCCTTTTTACAGCAGTTCAGTAACTTTTGTCTTCACAGTTCTCCCCAAGCTTCTTTATTCTTATTCGGCCTTGGTATGCTCCCTGGTTGCATCATTTTTTGCTTGATTCTTCTCTTACACTCCTTCCGTTTCAAGTGTTTTTCACTTTGTTCCAGTATTTTACATATAAGTTTTGTTAAAGATTAAAGCTCTTCATATTACCGCTAGATGTATTTGGGTCCAATGGAAAGCCAAAAATATTTAGGAGTAAACAGCAAATATGTGAAAATAAGCTTTCTGGTCTAAACTCTGTTTGATAAACCAATATGTTGCACATTACCCTAAGCAATTATTCCAATGGTAAAACGTTTTAGTTGCAGCATCATCATTCTCTGGGTGGATTTCAGCAGGGATTGAGAAAAACACAGCAAAGATGTTAGAAAACCTTTTAGAAACTGCAAAAGACTTGCAAGTTGGAGAGGGGCTCTATGTTCAAACCCTAAAAATACAGTCACAAAACCAATGGATTGGGTTAGCCTATCTTAGTAACATAAATTAAGGTTGTGATTGTTATATGATAATCTGTAATGAAGTCCAAGTGGATGGAATTGTGAAAAAATACAAATGGAAGCTATTTAAAGAAACCTGTAGGTTTACTCCATCCTATCTTTAAATGCAGCATGATAGGAGTTACACTAACTAATCTCCCAAAGCAGGCTTTTGCAGCTATGGTTGAAAGCTTGCCTTGCGTGTCATGGGGCTGGTGGGGGCAGAGGCACTGCTGTAGAGGCTGAGGCTGGAGTTGGACCTGCTCACGGTCAAACCCTTAGTGGTGCTTCCTGTTGGTGACAAATACTTCTCCTTGATCTTCAAGTTGGTTCGACCCTTAACTGTTAATGAGACAGGAGAACATTTCTGTTACGTTGGGAAAATTCTTAAATTGGGAATAATACTGGACATAATCTAATTATTCTGCTTTCATAACTATAAGTAAAATTACTCTAAAGGTGAAAATCCATTTTATGGTAATAACTTTGCTACACCAAATTTATTTACTTGATAACTGAATATAAATATATTTTTAGAATGCATTATAAATAAAATGTGTTATTTATAATTAACATGATCGAAAAATATGTTGGCATAATATAAAAAGAGAAAGGTATATATTAAATATAAATTGACATTGAAAATCCATGGTAAAATACTATAACATGTGTTTTATATATATATATATATATATATATATATATATATAATTTATTTTTTTTATTTTTTTAAACTTCTCCTTTTTCTTTCTTTCTACCACTCTCTATTTTTCAGACACACCTCTGCAGGGATCATTCTTCACCAGAAACTCATCCAGAGCTGTCCAGCCTCCTCCAACCCGAACCATCAACGTGCTCCGCAGGATTCGAACCATCCGAAGCTGCTGGGAATCTCCAAACTGTACCCAACAGACCAGGAAGTTATTGCATAGAAGAATTCATAGCAATGAAAATTAAAGCATGAGAAAAATATAATTTTTCTCATGCTATTAGTTTGATAAACATTTTGCAGAAACCTTTTTAACCTGTATTCTTCTAGAATTTGTATTAAGTAAAGTAACTCTGAGATAAGAAGTGCTTAGAAAGAATAATTGTTTGCCCAATAATTTTAGGAACCTTAAAGCTACAGTGTGTAATTTTCAGCGACATCTAACGTCCAGACTGCAGACTGCAGCAAAATGAACGTCTCCCCCCCACCGCTTCTCCCCCCCAACAGTACGGCAAGCGTTAGGGGACAAAATGTCTTCCACGACGTCGGAATCACCTACCTTCTCAAGTGATGAGGTTTGTTTACATAGATAATTTTACAGATAGTATTTCATTAGTCTGTGTAGGGTATAGATTTCATGTAGACTTTAGATAATAAATATACCCGTTATTTTTTCTACATCGTTGTGACGTTTTGGTGAGCTGCTTTGCATGGTGATATAAACAGACGAAGGAATTGTAGTCATTAGTTTAACAGCAAGATTGTGTTCGCTGGAAGAATATATATTCCCCGTTTACAGAGTCCAAGTCTTGTTTGTGGCACGGGGGTTACAAGGCAAGGAAGAGGGAAAGGAAGAGGGCAGAGAGGCCGGGGTGAGCGTGCAGCTGGGGCCAGGCGAAGGAGGGGAGCCAGCGGGGTGAGAGCAGAGGAAGAAAGGCTTGAAGATCTCCAAAGGAGCCGGAGAGAAGTAACCGAGGTATATATCCAGAAAATTATTTTACAGAAAATTACTGAATCATTACCTGTGAAACGTCAGGGACGTTGCTGAATAAGTATACTGGAGAGTAACAGCATCATCACGCAGCATGTTATTGTTTTAGACAGGTCTGAGCATCCTGTACTCCAAAAACTGCAGTGATATTAGACAATTGTGTGTGTAGGATTAATTACCTGTCCAAGAGAAAACTGGCAGCTTGAGCGTCACTTTGAAAACCTTTTTCCTCCATCAGTGACTTCCATCGTGTAAATGCCGTGCCAATGTTGATCCGTGTTTTTTGTCGTTTCTTGTCACGCTTGCGTTTATTCTCGTCGTGTTTCCGCTTCTTAGATGACGGGGGTTCGGTGCCCGCCGCTTTTCGTTGTGATACAGAGTAGGCATGATCCTCCATTCGTCTGATGTTTGGCCACACAGTGCCAAACAGTTTGCAAAGTCACTCGCGCCTGCCGCCTTGTTCACCTTTCTTGTTACTGAGGCGCAGTATACCTGCTTCTTCTTCTTCTTTGGTTTCAGGCAGACTAAACGCTTCTCAGGCATAGTACTGCCATCTACTGTTCAGTACCGTCTCAGTTAATCTCTCTCAACTTGCCGTAGTTATTTTCGAGCGTAATGGGCGATCTCGCAATCGCTAGTTTGTTGCCTCTGCGCTTGCCGTAGCGCAAAGATGTCAGCCTCCATGGCTGCGAGACCCGCTCCTATGTAATTATAAATAACGAATTCTAAGGCAACGCAAATATTATGGTTAAATGGCTGAGCTCATAGGTGATGATAAATAACATAGTTATGTATAATATATTAAATTTCTGACTTTATATCCCTGTAATTATTACACACTGTAGCTTTAAATAAAATCTGTTGCAAAAAACTGCCAACAGCAGTTACCCGATTAAGGTATCGAAAATATTTGTTTGAAATGTAATCAAAGCATAAATGTGCCTGTTCTTTAATAATGAAATTAACTAAATCATGTTAGTACTTTAAACCTGTTTTATTTTCTCCTTTTATCTTTTGTCCAATAAATTGTATTTGCTAAAGGCAGAATTCCCACACCTGCTTTAACACTATTTTTGTCTCATTACAAATATAACAGTACATTTTTTATTTAATAAAAAAAATCATTGTAATATGTTTGCGAAAAGGCAATTAAAAGAAATATGAATCATATGGAAGAAGGTCCGGGACCAATTTTCACGTTTTTTTGACATCATCACCCTGAACACACCATCATCATCATCATGCAGCCACCATGACCTTGACCTAAATAGAACAATCTTTAAGGGTCAGAGAGACTGTCTATAGTCTAACGGACCTTTGTTTCAATAAAGAATGGTCAAAATTTCTGCACTGTTGGTATTTGAAGAAAGAGAAGAAACACCACAAAAGGTGTCATTCTTTGTAGAGAAATTCTACAAATAAATGGCTAAATAAATGTAGTTTTGAATTGTAATTTCTCAAATTAAGTATAAACCAAGTATCCTTTTTTTAATATAAAAATGTCCACACTACCTTATGTGGTTCTATTACTGTAATGGTAACATGACTAAATCTGGAGAAGTTTAAGGGATGTGAATACTTTCAAAGTCACTGTTTATGACCGAGTAACATTTGAACATTATGTTTTCTGCTGACTATCTATAAACAGTTTTGATTGACTGGAGAGAAATGTGATTTGTTTTGATGTTTTGTCTCAAAAAAATAGGACTCACCCTGTATCTATTGGCACTTATTTGCTCCACCTGGAATCTCTTGGGGCAACTACACTGTGATACCTGTCGACTCACCTATGGTGAGAAAAACCCTACGTGTTAGTGACATCAAATACTGTATGCAGCAGAACGTTTAGTGAAAATGCCCCTTCTGTGTTTACCTCTTCATTAATTTGATCTGCGTCCAGTGTTTTCCTATAGGGGTCTCTGCTTGGATGGAGCGCACTCACAAACTCGTAGTAGTCAATGAAACCATCGTTGTTCAAGTCAAAAATGTTTGCTACGGCATTCATCTCCAGAGAGCTGCTTGGAAACGCTAAAATTAAGAAGTAGGAAACAAAGGATAAAATGATTTTGATTAATCTTGGGTGAAGACAAATTTCTGGGTTAAGCACGATAAATACTGAGAGTTTTACTTGACGCAAGGACGTAATCAATGAACTCCTTCCGGGTAACACGCCCATCCTGATCTCGGTCAATGCTACGGAACACGTCTAAAATCCGGGACTTCAGATGACTGATCCATTGATTATATCGCTTTCGCCAGATATTGAAGTCAAAGTTGGCAAATTCCTCCATCTACAGAGATAAAAAAAAGGATAAGATGCTTTAAAGTAATCCCAGGGACATATCTGCTTTAGCGAAGCAGTGTAATAACCTCTCTGAGCATCTGCTGGTGTTGTTCCAAGCGATTCTGTCTCGCCACAGCCATGTGCCAAAGTTTCTGCCACTGACTGACGAGCTGAATGAGCTCTGGGGTCTGAGGGTCAAGGTGCTCTAAGGGGACTGGTGTGACAGGTGGCAGCTTCATAGTGCTCCTCCTCTCTGCATAGGGACACATTCATATAACAGTCCAGGTATTAGACCAGAGTAGTTGGTATTTTTTCAACACATCCTTAAAAAGTTCAGTTTTTTTCAAGTTTGAAGATGTTTCGCTTTCCATCCAGGAAGCATTTTCAATTTAAAATGGCAGAATTAGTGCTGTTTTCCAAGCTTTATAGAGTAGGGGTGGACTCAGGTTTCAGCTCTCAAAAACCTACAATGCAGTGATAGAGTTGATTCCTTCCCGCTATCATAATCCTCATCGCCATGCAGGGGACCAAGACATCTTCCCTGGTCAACTAGGCCAACAATGCCCCTAACGACCCCCCCTTATCAAAGGCATAGACCAATATTGGGTATTGAAGGCTAACAAAGACCTCAACAACTCCCCCATTACTGAGGGGCAGACCTGATCTTCCGGTTCAGTTTGAATGTTTTATAAGCCAAAAAACTGCTTTGTCAGGCTACTCCATAAAGTCTGGAACTCAATGCTAATTCTGACATTTTGCATTGATAAAGTTTCCAGGATGGGAAGTGAAACATCTCCAAACTTGGAAAACAAAGTCAAGTGGTTTGTTTTTTTAACTTTTTTGGAAAGACTATGACCTGGATGACTGAACATCTTCACCAGCATCCTTAAGTGCATTTAATGTTTTTAGAAGTTCACTGTTGAGATGTAAATTTTAGTTATCCTACTTGCAAATGTCCTCTTAATGGGGGAAGCTTGATGCTTAGGAATGATCTTGTGCTTGCAGGATTTTGTGGCATTTTCGATCTCTGGGAATTTTTTCTTCATTTCCTCCATAAATACCTGCAGAGAGCAAATTAAATGTACATTACATGGCATCATAGGTCAAGTAAAGCTGTGCCCAGTGAGCATCTGTCTCAGGAGGACAGGTTGTACCATGTGCTGCTCAATGAGTTCCTGGTTCTGCTCTGTTGTCTCGGACAGAGGCTCTTCCTCTCTGAGGGTGAGAGACTCCTCTGCTGATGAGATCCAGTCCAAAAGCCTCTGGACTTCTTCTTTTTCTGCTTCCAGTGATGCCAAGCTGGCGCGGATCTTCTCACCCTGCTGTTGGGCCCATGTCTGAACCTACCTCAAAACAACAGAAAGATCACTTAAAGGTTAGCCTATTTTCACTGATGATTGTTGTTAGAGCAATACTTTTTTACAATTAATGCACTGAAGTAACACCACTAATGGTAACACTTGCCTGGGTCATATTGTTGTTTGTAAATTGTACCTAATGTTTATTTTCTGAGAAATTATTTTCCTACTCAAAATGCTTTTTTCATATTAATCGTTCCAGTAAGTAAAACCTTTTTTCCCCACATTCTGCTTAATTAATAACGGCTCATACCATTCAAAACAACATGTTGTTTTGAATGGTATTATGAGGAATTACAACTAATGTTTGGTATTTTGAGTATCAGTGAGTATTTAAATTAATTTGAACTATTTAAAGGAAAATTCCGGTTTTTAACACTTTTAGCCCATTTTCTGTAGTGTCCAGGATGAAATCGAATGATCAACAACAAAAATTTTGACAATTGGTCCTGTCTCTGCTATTTGGCTCATGCAGAATCCCCCCCTGGCTGCTTCAGAATGGCTTCCATAGTGCATGTCCGATAATGTCCTTAAAACAACCTTAAACGTTCTTTTTTAAAAATATGCTACTCACCGGGTCATCAGTGCTGTTCAATGACGTTCCAAAAAAAGTTTTGTAAAGAAAAAACGTTCCTGTAGTGTTTTATTTAGCATTTTGTAAATCCCATTGAGTTCTGTTGGAATAGTCAATATCCCTCCGCCACCGGAAACGGAAATGGGGCCTGTTTACGCTTAGTTGTAGTCTTTTCGCAAGGCCCAAGTGTTTATGCTTCACTCTGTGTACTCCGACGTCGAGGTGCTAACGTCTCTGTTAAACACTTTAAAAAACTCTGAAAATGGAATACGAAAGGTGGATTCTTGAGGAGGACATATTGGACTTTGAGTTTGACGGTAGAGGATACCGTCGCCAACTAGTGGTCTGGAGTGTGCAACGCTTCAGATTCGAACGGGAAGCGGAAGTTTATAAGCGGTTGTGATGTATCGGAAAAAATAGTTCTGGGATTTACAAAATGCTAAATAAAACAAGACAGGAACGGTTTTTCTTCACGAAACTTTTTTTGGAACGTCATTGAACAGCGCTGACGACCCGGTGAGTAGCATATTTAAAAAAAAGAACGTTTAAGGTTGTTTTAAGGACATTATCGGACATGCACTATGGAAGCCATTCTGAAGCAGCCAGGGGGGATTCTGCATGAGCCAAATAGCAGAGACAGGACCAATCGTCAAAATTTTGGTGTCGATCATTCGATTTCATCCTGGACACTACAGAAAATGGGCTAAAAGTGTTAAAAACCGGAATTTTCCTTTAAAGTACAATTATTAAGTAAATTACTAAGTCATAGCTGCAGACCATGATATAGAGAGACATACATTTAGAGGATAACAGGAAGGCTAAATGGATAAGGTTATATAAGTTTTATAATATATATATATATATTTTGAACTTTCTACCTCTGTTTTGAATCATTCAACATTCCACTGAAAACCGTAGTAATAATGCAGGGATCTACTACTTGATGCTGAGAAAGGAAAACCCTGTGCTAGCCATTCAAATGTTTAAAGATGCTGAAGGCAGTTTAAAGCGTCAACTCTGTGTTCACTTTGTCTTTCTTAAAAATGGATTAATAAAATCTGGTTTTACTGTTTCAAAATGATTAACTTAAAAAAGCTACTCTGAACAAACTAAGGCTACGTTCACACTGCAGGCCTTAATGCTCAATTCCGATTTTTTTGTGAAATCGGATTTTTTTGCGTGTCCGTTCACACTTCCAAGTATATGCGACTTGTATGTGATCTACTGTGTAAACTGAATGCGTCCAACCGAAGTGTCCCGCATGCGCACTCGAGGACGCGATGACGTCACACGTAGCAAGCGTCCTCAGTGTTTGCGGAAGTAAACATGACTCGTAATACCGCAGCGTATATTGCGTTCTTTAAGTTATTCTCCAACAGGAGCAGGCACATTACGAACGAAATCTTTTTAAGAAGATCAAAAAGAAAGACCCTCCCCCGGTTCCGGTAAGACCCTTCGAGTTTGGTCTGAATCGAGCTTTCTAAATATGAATTAAGTCAGCAACCTCACTTTCTCTCCATTGACTGCTCTCTGTGTTATCTTCCGCCATGGTTGTTAGTTTTTCCCGCCTCCGCTTAGTAGGACGCAGATTAGTAACGTTTAGTAATATTTGTCAAGTATCAATGACGTGTAGGTCGGATGAATGCGACCTGGCCGTACAGACACAGGTCGCATTTGAAAAGATCAGATACGTATCGGATTCAGGACCACATATCCAAGTGGCCTGGGTCGCATTTGAAAAAATCCGATCTGTGTCGTTCAGACTGTCATAAAAAGATCAGATACAGGTCACATATGGGCAAAAAAATCGGAATTGGGTCACTTCAGGCTGCGGTGTGAATGTAGCCTAAGATACTCAAAAGAAATCAACTTTATGAGACACAAAGCTTAGAATTTGGCTACAAACACGTTAAAGGCACTCACCTCCTCATAGCGAGTCTTTGTGACACTAATCCAAGATTTGAGGGTTATTATTGAATCTGGATGACAGGAAGCCAGGATCTCCTCACCCAGATTTTGGATGTTCTCCAGTTCCACAGCTTGAGTGTGCAAGGCACGCAGAGAGTCCTTTTTAGAATAAATAACAGATTTATTTCACATTTCCTACCATAAAAAATATGTTGCTGAAATTTGCTGAAATATGAAGAACAAACAGTTATTTTCTATTCTCATGTTTAACTAGATGTTTGTTTCAGAAAAAAAGTTTCCATCAGACTGAGTTTCAAACCCACCTGGTTTTATTGCCACTGGGCTTATCAACAATAGACACTCTAACCTTCACAGAAACTGATAAGATGGAGGGAAAAAAAAACTCAAAACTAAAGAATCTTGTAATACTGACCTCGTGCTGTTTCTGGAAGGAACGCAAATGTTCCTCTTCCTCTGGAATGACTCCATATTTTAGGATCCTCTCTGCTTCTGTGAGCCTCTCCATGAAAGAGTGAACAAGACCATCAAACTTCATTGCCTTTGGAGAATAAAGGAAAACATACATTTAGGACAGTTACATCTAACTTAGAGCTTTGGTTAATGTTTTTATTTATTATAAGTATCCCAGAGTGAACAATCTAAAGAACCACCTTTCACTATAATCACAGCTATGAATCTATATAATCTGAAAGGAAAATTTCAACAGAAAGTGATGCTTTACTCTGTCCAGGCTCACTGTCCCAGCAGTTGATCCACAACTTTATCTACAACTTCATTTAGATGTTCAAAATTGGCCTGTTTTTCAGTGTAGTCCTGTTTCTCTGACTGTGACTGGCTGGATGGGCTCTTTTTCATCCTGGCTTGGGGCTCATCTGCCTGGCTGTATGTTTCCTGGACGTGGCCCCCTTTGGAGCTGGTTCACAGTTGTCTTTTTTTATCTCTGCTTCTTTTTCTATGTCTGCTTCTATCTCCTTGAACCCCAGTCGGCCTCAGCAGATGGCCGCTCACACTGAGCCTGGTTGAGCTGGAAGTTTCTTCCTGTTAAAGGGGAGTTTTTCCTCTCCACTGTCGCTACAAGCATGCTTAGTGTGAGGGACCACCTTCGAATCAATGAGTTGATGCAATCAACTGGTTTTTGCTAAGATAGAAAATTCCCAAAAAAAAAGAAATTTGAAAACAATCCACTGGACCTTGTTTCCAAATGTGAATACTTTTTGCTTCCCATCCAAGAAGCTTTTAAATTCAAAATGTCGAGAATAGTGTTGAGTTCGAGGTTTCATACAGTATGCCAACATTGCTGCAGTAGCCTAACATTGTTGGGCTACTGTAGCAACATTGTTGGGCTACTGTAGCAACATTGTTGGGCTACTGCATGACCTGGATGACTGAGAATCTTCCCCAGCTTAGATAGAAAACTTTGAATAAATTTGACTGTATGATCTGGTTGAATTGTAAAGTGCCTTGAGATGACATGTGTTGTGAATTGGCTTCATATGAATTAACTGACTTGAATGTTTAGCTCCATATGTGTAACGAAATTTTTGTTGTTTTTTTTCCAAATGCATAATGCTGCCACCATCCTACCTCATAGTATAGCTCAAGTATAGCTTTACACTGTTTATTGTTGCCCCACCAAACATATGCAATTTGGCTCTATAAGTGATTTGTGCCCTTCATTCTTAGACATTCAGTAAGGTCTGCTGTTGTTGAACACCTTTCCTTTTTATTATCAGGTGACAAATTGAGCAGTGCTCTGAAAGACGTTTAAGGCTTTGAAGTTTGTTTTATAACCTCACCCTTCCATATACCGTTGCACAATCTTCTCCCTGACCTGCCTGTCAGGCTAAGCCCTTCACATAACAACTGGGTTGAACATGAAATTAAAAGTTCTTTTGTTGCAAATGTTGCACTTGATTTTATTAAAGGATTCATCAGAATTACAGGCATTAAAATTAAGTTTAGATAACTTTTCAGATTTTTCATTTTATTTATTTTATTCATGTGCGCTCTTTCAAGCTGTTTAATTGGTTAAAGGGGTTTAATTGAGTAATAAAACCACTTTAAAATTCTGTTTGTGAGTAAACTTTGAAAGTCAGCTTATATTGACCTCGTAAACATCAGGTTGGCTTAATTGACATCAAAATTTCACATAAAATAGATTGCAACTTTAAAGTATATCTGAGCGACTGCATAATTAAAAAGCAGACAGAGCAGTATTACCTGCTGTAATGCAGCCTCTAGCCTGTCCTGTTTGCTCACTGACAGTCTGCACACATCATCCCAGCGACCCTCCAGTTCCTCCATCTGCTCCTGCAGCCAGTGAGCATCTGCAGTGCTGCTTCTGGTCAGATCCCTTACAGAGCGTTTTAGGGTCCTTATGCATCCTGCTCGTTTCCCCAACTCCTTCTGGAAGGCCTTGGAAAAATAAACAGCAACTTCATTCAGTATTAATTGAGCAATAATAGTACTCATATCAGAGTAATACTAGATATGGAAAATGAACTGATCCCAATTTGGTTTGCTTCAATTTGTAACATTTTAGCAGCGCTTTTGTCAAAGTATGAAAGAAATACCTTATGTTTGTCTATGAGACTGATAACTATGTCTTTGTCTCCACCAACAGGGACATCCTCTGCAAGATGGGGCTCAGCTCTGTACAACCAATCATTTAGTGCATGCATAGCATCAGTGAATCTCCCTGAGAACAGCAGTGCTTCCTCCAGCTTATGTTGTCTTAAAGACAAAGAATTTACAACAGTGTTTAGTCTTCAAACCAGACTTATCAGGAAGAAAATGGGTTTTATCCTGTTTTACTCCAGGTTTACCTCTCGACAGACTTTCCACTAATGGTATCCCAGGTGTCTTTGAGTTCGGCCAGCAGGTTTTCCAGATGCTGCCTGTCATGGCTGCTGTGAGCCCTTTCGTAGAGGCTGCGTCCATTCTTCGTAGTGGCATCATACATGGGCCTTTTTGATCTCAGCAGTTTCTGAAACTCCTGATTATAAAAGCAATTGAATAAATTAACCAATCCGTTTAAATTAAAAGGATAATTAAAAATATAACTTTTTTTTTTCTTCCTACAGTAACAGGACATGGGCCAGTTCTGGGTATCATGGTAAACAGTTTTACATTTTCCAGAAAATTTATTTCAGTTATTTTTTTATGACATCCCAGAGAAGTTTCCAGAGTAACCAGAGCTTTCCATCCCCTCCCAAAGCTGTTTTGGGGCCCAGAATGCCTGGTTCTGCTGGAGGTACCTTCCTGTTAAAATTGAGTTTTTCCTCTCCACTGTCGCTACAAGCATGCTTAGTGTGAGGGATTGCATTTGAGTCAATGAGTCGATGCAATCAACTGGTTTTCCTTAGATAGTAAACTGAAACAATTTGACTGTATGATTTGGTGAACTGTAAAGTAGCTTGAGAAGATGTGTGTTGTGAAATGACGCTATATAAATAAACTGAATTAAATTGATTTGAAAATGGTCAGATGGTTGAAAAGAGACGTTGTAGCTTTCAAAAAAGGAAAACTAAAATGTTTGGGAACATCAAAGCAATATTGAAATTTATGGAAACTAAGATCACCATAGCTTGGCAATCAAAAAAGGTAGGCAACTGAAAACATTTGGCTAGTGTTTATTATCTGTTTCTATCTATATGCAATATTTTAAAATATATATATTTTTTAATCATTGTTATTATTGAGGGAAAACCTCATACGAGCCTGTGTCCACTTCAATACTTATTGCACCTTCTGTTCCACGAGCTGTTGTTTTATCTGCTCATGAGAAGCTCCAATCTCCTTATGTGTATCCAGAGTTTGTTCAACTTCTGTCATCCAGTCGACAAGGAGGCGCCAAGATTCAACAAACTGAAATAAAGAGAATTAAAGGTGAAATTATGTCAATTTTTACTGTCTAATTTCTTACTGTCTAATTTTGAATATTTGTCTTGTTCAGTGAAGCTGAAACTTCTTTTATCTTTCCGCACCTGTTTGACGTGTTTTTTAACATCCTCTAGCATCCTGCCTCTCTCTGACACCCGCTGCAGGAGCTTCTTGTATCTCTCCTGAACCGTCATTATTAGGTTATGAATAACATCACGGTCTTCCTTCCTGCTCAGCTCTGTTAGTCTACATCCTGTATTCTCCACTAAGGTCTTCTTTTCATTGTAGCCATTTAACTCATTCAGTAGGATCTGTGCCAAAAGTTCAAGTTTTTATTTTATTTTATTAAAACACATCAATTTGAAAAGAAATCAGGCTTAGCTTACATGTTTTTAATAGATATACCTTATGTTCTTGCAGCTGTGTGGAAACTGTTTCCAAAACGAAACTTGAAGCAGGCAGGTCCATCATTGACTCTTCACACTCGTTCATCTTTTTTAAAAGTTCTTGGACACTGCTGTGGAACTCTTTGGCCAGACTCAACCCTTCTGTAAGCTTAGCCTGCACGCCAAAAAATGCACCACAATCAAGCACTTATATTCTTAATAAATAGCATGCTTTGGAAATATTTTTGATTGACACAGCAATAAGATTGCACTAAGAGTAATTTACTTTTCGCTCTTGGACTTTGCTGTAAACAGATGTCCACTTTTGTTCAAGTATGGACAAGCTGTGCTCAGTGCTTGACCCCCGCACAAGGTCTCCTCGCTCCAACATCCCATGAATGGCATTCCTCACATTTGTGTAGCCTTGTACTTTAGATTCCATCTCATTACATAGCTCCTGTTAGTCAGAATAAAATTTAAATATCAATCAAATAACCACAAACAAATTTCTGATAAGAGAAAATCATATCTTTAAAAGTGTCTATACTACAATGTTTGTAGTTCTGAAAAAAAGAACATTACCAAATGTATATTTAGCCTTTCATTTGCAGAATCTGGCATGCCCCATATGGTTTTAGATGAGGAGAGCTTCAAGTCTGTGTTTTCCAGCCACTGTATAAGATCCTGAATCTCCATGGTAACATCTTGCACCTGCAAATACGTAAATGAGATGTACCACAAATAAAGACATCAAATGGATTAGCACTTGTAAAAGTTGAATCCATAAAGCATTAAAATACATTTATGTACATCAAAACGGTTTCTTTTTGAAAGCCCAGATTGATCCTCTGTTTTTATTCTGAGTGTTATGTTATGCTCATTTTCACCTCTATTGCTTGTAGTTAATGAAAACTCAAATTTCTTAGAATATTGACATTTAACATGAAACTAATAGAAATGTCATGGTACTGTATAGTTCATGCACTCCATGCTTTGTCTAGGAACTGACATGGAGCTAATCAGACTCTTATTTTGCTGGTAGAAGAGACGTTTTATTAATAGAGGCAATCAGCTGTTCTGCACTCCTGATTTATTTATTTTTTCTTTAAACAATAGTAAATAGATTCATCATTGGGTTTAGGTTAGAACAGTTTTGGAGCATCTCTACAATGGTGATTCCCATAGTTGCTAAAGCAAGGTTTGCTACTATGTGCAGTATAGCCAAAATTTAAATCCACAGATGTAGGCAAAAGTGCTCTAAATTATCCTGCTAAATGTAAGAACTAACTTGATGAAGAAAAATCAGGAGCTAAACTCAGCAGTATGCACTACTATCATCATTACTAATAACATTACTAACTGTGAAAACTAACCAAAGTAATTAAAGAAAGCTGAATTATGTCACTCTTCACTCTACCTCCACACACTGGGACCTTTTCTTTATAACCTGAAACAGGAGGCTAATGTTGTTTTGCTTTAGTACAAATTATGCAATAGTCGCTCATACCTTACAAATTTTCCTGTATGTCAGCTTTTAGAGCACTGAGATACATGAATGACACTTTCATCTGTAAATAGACTGAATTTTTATTGCACTTGTATGACTGTAGTTTAAAGCGCTTTAAAATAGAGTTTCAAGGCTCCAATCATATTTAGAAAATTAAACACTTCCACACACATTCATAGATACTTAGGTTTGCATGCATCAGGCCACAGCAACCTTATTTCCTTCTAATCTTTAATCAAGGTTCTCTTCACGATGTACTTTTAAATTTCCCCTCCCAGAGAATTTGTAACAAAGCCATGATGTAATATTTTGCCAATTAATATACATATACCTGTAAGATTTTTGAAAAAAAAATGGAAAAATGTGATATCTAAATGTACGGAAGAGGATTAGGGCCAGTGAAAAACTAAAAAAAGTTAACTGATTTTTAAATATTATTTCAGTTTAATATGGGGGGAAATTCAGAATTCTGACTTTTTTCTCAGGATTCTGACTTTAATCTAAGAATTCTGACTTTTTTCTCAGAATTCATTAAAGTTAGAATTCTGAGAAAAAAAATCAGAATTCTGATATTAAAGTCAGACTTCTGACTTTTTTGTCATATTATACTGAAATAAAATCAAAAAATCAGTCAACCTTTTTTTATTTTTTCAGTGGCCCTAATCCTCTTCCGTAAAATTGAGATACTCAGATTGTTAGATTTTATGTTTATGGTGTAATACTGCCGATGACCACCAGAGTCCACCATTGATTTCGTTCCTCACCTGACTTAGTCTGTTCTCTAGTTCCAGCTGCCTGCGCTCCGTCTCACAGCGAACAAACTCCCAACTTTCATTCACTTCTTCCAACTGAGACTGCAGACCATGTGCGCTGTCCCCAGACCCAGCTTCCAGAAGTCTCCTGCCTGCCTGGTTGAGGGACTCAATGGTACGCACATGAGACATCACATCATTGCGCAACACCTTTGGGGGATAAGAATAAGGTCATACAGGATTAAAAACCTATGATTAAAGCATAGTTTGTTTTATTCAAAACGCCATCACAAACCTTGTGCTTTGCTAGCTCTATTTCACATGTTTGCAGGTCCATGCTGATTGGCTGGTTGCCATGCAGTTGTTCAGCTGTTCTGGAAAGCCATGTCTGCAGCTCATCTAGAGTATTTTGGAACTGACCCAGACCCAGCAGAGCACACTCTAACCTATGCTGAAAATGTAGCATGGATAGAATATTTTCACTCGATTAGTGTTAATTATTGTGATAATAATCCAAACATACACTCATATGTGTATGTTTGGAAACAACTTGCCAGCACAAAGTTGGAAACCTTTGCCTTTATGATCTATTGATGCCTAAATCCATGAAGTTACAGCCATGTATTTTGCTGAGTCAACATTTGTGCTGGCAAGTTTTCAAGTGGTTGCTTCATGGTGTGTGACTGTTTGAGCTTTAGAGAAAAGTCAGTAATTAAATGTAAAATGGCATCCATTGCTAAAAATGTAATATTTGAACCATTAGTTATTACAGATTCCCTGATAAGACATATCTTACCTGTCTGTTCACAGTCTCGGACTCAAGACTGTCCCATCGCTGTCTAAAGTCACTCAGTGGAGATGATGATCCTGGACGTTCTGAGCCCGGAGACAATCGGCACACAAAGCGGTGGTTTAGACTCTCAATCTCAATCTTCCTTTGGTACAGTTCTCGCTTAAATTCCTGGGTCACGTAAAAAAGATTATATGTGAGAACTGGTTTCATTTTTTTCTTTTAACCCAAGATAAGTTTACTAGCCTTTAAGATCATCTTATCATGTATCAACTCACCTTAAGTTCACATAGCTGCTCTTTGACAGCTTCCAGGTCAGTTCCCACAATAAACTCCTCTGTTGATTTCAACTCAGCTGACTTTAACCACTCAAACAGGCCCTGTTAAGGCACCATTTTTTAAATTATTGTATTTGTACTTTAAATACTGTATGTGCTGTATTCAAACACTGACCTGCATGGTATCTTGATAATGAAGTGCCATCTGCAACGATTCCTCTATCTTCTTGTGAGAGTCACTCCAAAGTTTGCTCAAGTTGTTCCATGTGCAATAAAGCTTAAATACATCAGGATAAAAAGGTTTAATTTAACTCTGCATTAGGATTAGAAAAGGCTTCTGTTAAATGAAGCTGTCTTACTTCATCCATGCTCTTTGTGATTTCTGGTTTTTCTGTATCACCACATGCTACCATTAAGTCCATTCCTAGAACACCAAGAATGTCCAAGTCTCCTTGCAAGCTGTCTATATCCTCCCTAAGAGACTGAACGTTGAGAAAATATAAACATTCCATCATATTTTTAACAGTAGGTTATTCGTGAGTCATTTTTTAAAATACATCCAGACAAACCTGCATGCTTTCAAGGCTTTGGTGGATTGTTTCAGAATCTGTGAGACATGCATTGAGATCCAAAATGGCCTGCTGAGCATCATTAAGGGCACTTGTCATTTCAGTGACATCACTCCAATACTTCAAGGCGAGATCTAGAAGCTTCAACAACCAGCGCTCTCTCTCCTGAGCCTGTTTATAAGTTTCATCCCACATCTGGGACAGGCTGGACACTTGACCCTGAATCGCTAACAGCACAGAAATAGCAAAGGTGTTACTCAATGTACAGTAAAATGTAATGTGGCTAGTAATGTCTGAGAAGAGAATTACTTGTGCCAATTGAATTGTCTCCTGCTGCCTGAGTGTTTGCCAGCAGTTCGTCTGCCTGCCCTTTGACACTGTTGAGACCCAGCTCCAGCTTGGAGAGCTCAATAATTGCTTGTTTGTTGTCTTGCAGCTGTTCCTTGATCCTTGGTGTGAGACCTTGAAGAGAGGTGGGTGTCTGCATGCGACTGCAAAGGCGGTCAAGACTCTCCCTGATAAGAGTCATCCTTTCATTCAGCTGCAGGATAAAAAGCAGACATAACGTGGTGTTCTTTTGTGAAACTCATATAGTGTTCTTAGTTATACAGAAAGCATTCTTACTTGTGTGAACCGTGGTAAGGACTCCTCAAGGAGATTAGCACTTTCTTTGACACATTCTCTGATGGATTTGTGTTGCTCCTCAGCCTCTGTTGCTTTTTGAATGAAGTGTTCACCCTGAACAGGGTTCAGTTCTGACAACCGTTTAGCTAGAACACCTTGGCGTGCGATCAAAGGTCGATGTTCTGCAATAGACTCTCTGAGACCCTTTGCAAGGCAGAAAAAAAAAATATGCTGTTATAACAATTCAGGAAACATTTGTCCTCTTTGTAGAATTATCTTTTTTCAATGAATCTCTAAAATTGGAATACGTTTAGGAAAAACACATTTTCCCATATACTCTGCTGAATACCTCACAGAACAAAACTGCTATTGTCATCAGGGGTAATCAGGGTAGGGGTAAGAGATATCCTGTCATTAAGTAGATTACACTGATGAACTGAGCTTGTGCAAATGGTTCTTTTGACCATTGAAAAGTGTTGGTAGTCTCTGAAGAATAAATAGCTTCTTTGATGAACACAGACAATTCAAAGGGGCATGTTTCTTCTACCTGTAAGAGGTCCTGTTGTTCCCGAAATGCTTCATAACTAATTGTGCCCAGGGAGAGTTGACCAATAAGGTTCTGAGTTTCTTCCAGCCATGGCGATATCTCAGCCAGGCCCTCCGAGAACTGGGAAAGAAGCGACTGGGCATGCTCCAGCTGGAGGACCACATGGGCATTTGTAGCTGAGGTGGTGTTACACTGTTCCTGCAGAGCCTCTAGGGGCACCTAAATGGTGATAAAACAGTGCTAATGTGTAACTTACATCTTAACAATTATATACTTATTGTCAAATATTGTGTATCATGAAATAAAAGTTGCAGTTGCACCTGAAGATCTCCGGCTGCTCCTTCATCATTGTAAGTCATCAAGATTTCAGCAATCTTGACCATCTTCTCAATGTTGAATTTATGTTGAAGGATCTCTACTGCTAAAATCTAAACAGAATTACATGTTTATTTTAAACAAATGTTTGAAACAGTATTATCAAACTGAGTTTAATAAAACTCAGTTTAATAAATTGCATTTAACTGAAAAATGTTACTTTGTTCTGACCTTCTGTTCACTGAGTTGTTCTGCTATCATCTTTGGGTCCAGATCAATTGTTTTAAGCTTTTCAAGATTGTGTGCGGTGTCTTTGAACCAAGCCAACTCCTTTACCACAGCCTGTTGCAACTGGGAAAACAACAAAATTATATCAAACTATTGAACAAACAAATGCCAGAAGGAAGCATGAAAAAACATATTTCCATAAGATCAGGACTGAGTTGCAAAACACTGAAATTCAGGAGCATACCTATAGTCCAATAGTCTAATTTAGTTAGGAGGATATGACTCGGAAACTGACTTGTCTCCCAATTTATTTATCAGATAAACACTTTAAACTAGTCAGTGGGGTGCAGCGTGTCTCCTCTCAGTGCCAGTTCAAGATATTGATATGAATGTTGTGTCAGGAAGAGTATCTGTTCTAACACTTATCCAAAACAAACACACCGATCAGAAAAAAGACTGCAGAGCTGGGTTACAATTTAAACAATGTGATTTAGAGGTTTAAAACAGATTAGTTCCAATGCTTGTATGTAATGTATTCACTTTTTTTGTGTGAATTATTCTAAACTATGAATTTAAAATGGCCTTTTTTGTGAGTATGTATATATTTTGGAGTTTGCTTTTTGTTTGCAGAGCACTCTGCAAGGACGTTCTGCAGACAACTGGATGAGTTGTAAAAATCAAACATTAAATTTTTCAACACTTTACCAATGGACTGGTGATTTTTTACCTTTATTATTTTGGTCCAAAGTGACTTATTTAGACTCAGTCCCACACCAATATCTAAAATTATCTTGGAAAAAGCTGTAAATCATGGGTGACGTGTTCTTGTATCTACGTAGCTAGTTTCATTTTTGTGTACATGTGAAAAACTTACCCTTTCTTTCTCAGCTGCACATTGTACTGCATCTCCTACATGCGTTGGGCCTCCTGCTGCTCCTAACAGCTCCCTCTCAATGCGGCCCAGCCACAGGTGGAGGTCCTCCTGACTTGACGTGCAGCGGCTAGAAGCTTCTAGGGCCTGTTCAAGCCTCTGTAGAACATCCATGCTGCTCAGGTTGAGCACAGAGCAACGGATACGGAGTGCATCCATCTTCTCTTGTACCTGTTGTGCTTCTTCCACTTAAATGAATGTGAAATAACAATACATAGGTAAAGTGGCATATACAACCTGTATGGCATGGCTATTGCTTAGGACTGAAAATTGTCATTTTCTTTTAAGAAACTAGAACTAATTGATGAATATTAACTAGACACTAGGTACACTCAGTTGCTTGTAGCAGATTAACCAAACATGTTAGACACTCAATATGTACAAATCAAACCAAATTTCAATTGAAAGAGTGGAAACAATTGAAAAGAAAGGGAATTTACAGAAGAGGATTAGGGACACTGAAAAAAAAAGTTTACTGATTTTAAAATTCTATTTCTTAATCTCAGAATTCTGACTTTAATCTCAGAATTTAATTTTAATGTAATGGATTTTAATGTAGATGGGCACTATGAAGGAAGAGATGCGGGAGCACTTAGCTTCACTGACATAGATTTGAGTTGTTTGAGAGGGCCAGTGACACATTGGTGAAAAATTACGGAATTAGCCAACTTTTTATGTGCCCGAGGAGTCCCCTCATTAATAGAGGAGCAGAAGGTCATTAAAGCAAGAGAGCTAGTCTCTAAAACAGACATGGCTATGGCTTGATGCTAACATGTTTATTATCTGTCAGAATGCTGAGATTAAAGTCAGAATTCTGACTTTAATCTCAGAATTCTGACTTTTTTCCAATACTAAAATGAAAAAAACATTTAAAATCAGTAAACTTTTTTTTTTTTTTTACTGGCCCTAATCCTCTTCCGTAGGAATTTGATACACTTTGGATTTTTAATGGGTGTTGGTGCCAGAGGAGATGGTATAGCATTTAAAATTTTATTTTACACCCACTGAAAAAAATAATGCAACCACTTTTGGCATTTACTTAATCATATTTAGTTACTTTAACACAATTGTTTAATGTCCTAGAATGCTAACATGAAACAACTGTGTTAAAGTAACTAAATATGATTTTGCAAATCAATCAATCAATCAAACTTCTTTACTGTCGACTACAATTTACATTGCCATTGAAATTTCAGTTTCAGTACAACCGTTCATCGGGGAACGGATTGCAAGTTTCCCACCGGTTACCTGGCTCCCCAGGTCCCAGGCGGTTACCTATAGCGCCGCTTTTTAAATGACGTTATAAAAGATTATAGTGATGATGACAAATACACATTTGTGACCTATAAACCGGTTTTTGATTGCAATGAGTTTACTGTAACCCACACTGGCCTTCACTACTACAAGATCTTAGTCTATTTAAGAACCTTGGAATGTTGTGGAACAGGTAATGTTCTGAGCAAGACCTGGGGGTGCTGTTTTTTGTTTGTTTTTGTTTTTTTTTTAGGGTTCTTTTTATGTCGGGTTTACAAGATTTGGTAGGATGGATGGAGAAACAGTGAAACAATTAGATCTGTGTCTGCAGTAACCTGGTTGTTGTCCCAGCTGAGCCAAAATGTAAAGCTCTTGATTCAGCAGTGAGGTTATGTTCCATCCCTTATATATGGTCATAAGACATGACTAAAATGAGCTTCCTGAATATGATTCCTGCCCTGCCTTGGTGATAAGGTGACAGTATTAATCTTGAGGAGCTGAAATAGATTTGAAGCCCCTCTGCATCAAAATTAACCAGTTAAATTTGACTAGGCCTCTGATCAGAATGCCTCCTACTAAAGGGGCCTGCCTTTTGAAGTTGCCTAGGCACTTCCTATCAGGAGATGTGATGTAGATATAGACCAAACAACTGACCAAGGGACCATATAACCCTACTGGCCTGAAAAACTGGATGGATGGATGGATGGATGGATGGATGGATGGATGGATGGATGGATGGATGGATGGATGGATGGATGGATGGATGGATGGATGGATGGATGGATGGATGGATGGATGGATGGATGGATGGATGGATGGATGGATGGTACACATTACCTGAGACTGCTTCCATCAAAATTACACCTGACATCTTTACTTTTTCAAGTTCAGCCATTTGAACTTGAATCTCTTCCACAACAGCCTAAAAAATGATTCATAGTTTCAAGTTATTTCAATTCTGGCACTTAAAAAACATAATTATGTTGTTGAAAATCTATGTTTTTTCACTGAAAGGTAAATAAATCACATCAGCAGGGTGAGTCACTCACCTTGGCCTTAACTGTAGCATCTGACAAATGCAGCATTGCTCTTTCTGCTTTCCTCAGCTCTGCTAATGTTTGTTCTTTAGATATGAGCCACTGCTGCAAGCTGTCTGCTTGTTCTTGAAACCGCTGGGCTTTGGGAAGAATGAGCTCCAAACATTCCCTCCTACCAATGGTTTGATAATCAATCAGTTAAATGTGTGTAGTACTATGCATCAAGTCTTGCTGTAATGAAGTGACAGATTACCACCAGAAGTGTCTGACCTCTTCTCCGCCTCTAGCTGTAGGGCCTCCCACTTCTGTTGAAGAGTGTTGAGCTTGACCTTTGCCCGCTCCCCTTCTTCTCCTGGGTGGGCCTCCACTAGCCGTGGGCCCTCGACCATCACAGAATCCATACTACGCCTACGGTCAGTCAGGAGACGTAGCAGGAGCTGTAAACCATAAATATCTCAAATCATTGAAAAATTACAAGTGTGTTAACTTTGCCCTTTGATGTCGAAGAAGAGACAGAAGGGGTTAAAACATCCCTCAAACCCTACACTTGTTTTATAACTTCCTTTCTATTGTATGCAGAAAGACCTGTCTCATGTTTCCACCTTACATTGTCCTAACCGGTTTCCTCTCATCTGTAGAGGACAACTTTCTCATAGCCTGCAGACATGTTCACAAAGAAGCTTATTGTTGCTTAGAGCACCACCCTTTGACCACTAAGCAGAGAAGAGTTTATTTCTTAAAAGAAACCATTGAATATTCTTTGCCATAACTTCGGTTAAATCTTTCAGCTTTATTCTGCTTGCTCTAAAATCTAATTTGTTGATGAATTCAGTTCACTGGATGACAAACCTTCTGTTCTTGAAGTTGTGCCTTCACCACTTTGACTTCTGAGGATGGAGGTTTCTGATTGGTTGTGAGCTCCTCTATCTCACTGACCCACGCAACCAAAGCGTCCAGGTTCTGAAGAATCATTTCAGAATTTGTGGAAGCATCCCTGAGTGCTAGTGGAGTTTTAGTTACCTAAGCGGAAGAAAAAAAATACAATTATAGCAGAAGTAGAAGTATTAAACAAGGTAGACAATGAGCTTGATTTCTGAGAACACATACCCTCCACCTGTCTAAACTACAATCTTGTTCTGAACTTGACTGTCCGTCATTTTGGAGCTGCAAAATAAAGAAAATTTATGTGATGCCTTAATATGTAAAGCAATGCCAGTTATTCTCTATCAGACTAGGACATAAAATATTGCTATTAATACAGAGATGATGGTAGAAAATAAAAAAATAAAAAAAGGATGATAAAAAAAGAAAGGAAAGACATAAGTGATGAAAAGATGGGACTATTTCAGTCTTACAATCTGTGTTTTAACCTCAGCAAGCTCCTCTGCTACACCGTTCAGGACTCTAACGGTTCTGGTGACTATGGGCTTTCCTCCTTTATCTCCTGGTGGATACTCTGTCACCTCCACAATCTCTGTCACAACCGTCTCTGTCACTTCTGTCACTTCTGTGACCTCGCGTGATGCAACTGTCTTCCAAGACCATGGGCTTCCCTCTCTGGAGTCTCTCCTCTGGAAGCTTGCCCTTCTTTCTGCAGCAGTCATATCCATGTGAGCAAGGGGAGATCTGGCAAATTCTGGAGGCAATGTCCTCCTAGTTAATGTCCCATTTCGAGAGGTTTTTAGTGAAGATGGACTGCTGTGCCAGGCGTTTTCTAAGGTACTGCTACTTCTGATTGTGGAAGCAGGTGAGCTTTGGAGGGGTTTGTCAGAGATAGGTGTTTGAGTACCCTCCTCCCTCCTATTATAAAATTCCTCATTCTCTTTGTCCACCTCTTTTTCGTTAATTCCATCTTCTCTAAGTTTGTCCTTGGATTCATCCTCCCCTTTGGTCACCCCATCTTGTTCAGGGGGTTGCCACTCTTTTCGCCGTTGGTAGCATTCCTTCAAGAAGCCTTCATCAGTCCTAACGTGCTTGGACTTCTGCCCCAGACAACTGGGCCTGCTGATGAGATTACCCATAATCCTTCAGCCCACAGGCTAGTAAGGTAATAGATGAAGTCAGGCCCCTTGGCCATTCATGCAGATGATCCCTCAGCTACCTAAAATGAAACAAGGGGCTGAGAATGGGTCATTCTGTTCATGCAACACTTCGCAAAAGCATTCCTACCCCGTGAAAGTTTTTAACATTCTGTCAAGTTCCGGCCCCTTTATATTTTTGTTGTTTTTGTTTTTTTTATGTGATTAATAATTGTGAAGTGGAAGGAAAATAATACATTGTCAAGAGTTTCTTTTCCTAAAAAACACACATCTTAAAAGTGTAAGATAAATTATATGTTCAGTCTCCCTTAGTTTATGCTTTGTGAACCAACTTCTGTTGCAATAACCATCTCAAGTCAGCTGGGTTACGGACAGAATGACAATAGTTTGGAAACATCTGTTTAAAGATTGTGCCAACTATTCACAATATAACTTTTAATGTGGGCAATTCCAAGAAATCAAGCAGCTTTGATCTTAATAGTTCCTTTAGCTCTGACTGCATGTGGTCATTTTCCTGCTCCATGCTAGTCACTAGCTGTTTTTTGTTGCTGTTGTTTGTTTTGTTTGTTTTTTGTCAAGAGGGTAACATATTTGACTACACTCAAATAGTGTTTAACCAGCTTTAATGATCCATGCTTCATTGTGGAACAGGTGATGTCTGGCTAATAGGTTGTGTTATTCTTTTCTCCTCTTTGAGTGGAAAAAAAACCTTGGCTTCTCAGCTGCCATTCAGAAATGTATTTCTACCCGTCACCCTTCAGTGAATGATTATGTCATTGGTTCTAACCTGATTCCACTGTCTCTGTTGGTCACACCTTGAAAACAGGGCTGAAACTGCTTCTTTCTAGACTGACAGACTGTGCATTCAGCCTGACTGGACAGGGTATACCAGTTGTGCCATATTTCTTAATCACAGGAAATGTTCAAGCTTTGAGAGACAATACCCAAATCCTGCCTTGAACCTCTCTAGAAGGTTATCTATAACTTGTTGGGAGTGTTTTTCCTTCTTAATAATGCAGTAAAACCTTCACATAACTGCAGCATTTAAATAAAGACAAAAAACTTACAGTTATTATCTATTTACAAATTCTGTCAAATTGCCATAAAAACAGATGCACTCTACACTAAGTTTCTTTGTCAATTAAATTTAATTAGGTTTATTGATAAAGTACCAAATCACAAAATATATTGTCTTATGGTGCTTTACACCCCACCCCTCCTTGAGATTGACCTACTTGATGTGGTTCAGCATTTCAAATCCCACTGAATTTAAAGTTTGGAGTTGTAATGTGACATACATGTCTCTGGTTGCTTTTACATCATGAAATACATTTTTAGTTCTCTCTGACAGACGAGTGAGAACTCGTTTTTACTATGTACACATTTTTCCAACCATCTCACATCAACAAACAAAAACTGGGCTTGAGAATCAATGTGACAGCCTTTTGGAAGATCCCGTTGCTCAGCCTGGCACAGATAAACCAGTGGCAACCAGCCAGAGCTTTCTGTAACTCAACTCAGATCAGTCCTGGGAAACCCTGTAGGGACCTGATGAAATATAACAGCCATAAACCCATCACATTATTTCTATATTGTGATCAATCTCTCTTTGTAACACATGGCTAATAATACTAGAATAGACAAATCAGCTTCGAATTTGACTAATATTTGTATGATTTTACAAACACTCTGTTTTATACATTGTTTGTTTTTCCCTCACCTCTCTGTGTTCATTGCTTTGACAGAGGTTAAAGGTTAGTGTAGTTATCTTGACATAGACAGTCTGGGATGAGCCCCTCAGGAGGTCACAGTGGGGGCTTCTGTTTAAGCAAAGTCTTCCCTCTGAGATGAGGTTATCCTGCTCAAGTCAAAATCATAGAAGCCATCTGAAGACCAGCCGAGTGACAAATAATCTACTTAATCTCGTTGGGGGTTGAGGGTTAGGGGTTAGCCAGAAAGGATATTCCTATCTGCTTTTAACATTTCTTAAAAGATTACTTTTTTAAAAGCTGTGTAGATTTTAATGGAAAAATGCAATTATGATGCTTGATGGCTCTATAATACGTAATTAAAAGCTAAGTAATGGAATTACTTTAATTAATATGTAATAAAGGCCTTTAACTCACCTATGATTTTTTAGCAACAGTCTTTGAAAAGGCATGATTACTAAACAAAAAAAAAAAGAAAATACACATACAGTATGGCTTTCCAGTCAGGTTTTGTAGCCACAGCACTAAGACTGCTGTGTTGAAGGTTTTAAATGCAAATATGCCTTTCATCTAAAACACACATCTCTGTCATGATCCATGTGCTGCATTATTTACAGTTGATCTTAATATATAGAGTAACTGAATGGAATATGAGTATATGAATGTATTTGTCTTGTAATGTGCTAGAATAGTTTAGATCAGGTTTAAGAGCCTTCATTATGAAGCACAGTGAATTGCCTGGCTGTATGAATTAACTTATTCAGCTTTCAGGGGGGCGAAATCCTGCTGAATAAGCAGATATAGCCTTCTTGATAACAAAGATATAATGCTTGTATTTGCTAAGGCAGAATCTAACCTAAAAACATTTAAACCTTTAAGGTGGAAAAATGTAAACACATTAAGATTTTCGTAAGGCGAGAATATAAAGATGACCTACTTTGATATGATGACTGGATGTGCATTAGTAATTACCTGCTTTATGTCTCTCTCTCTGCTGAGCAGATGATGCTCTCCTGGGGTCCACAGGGGAGCAACACAGTCGGATCAGAGTGGTGCCCAGACAAAAGCCTCAGCCTCAAGATCAATGATTACTTAGTTAGCTCAGATCCCTACGCAACAGTCTCTTGAGGAGAGTAGTGTATCTGAGGCTGTGTCCACATAGGTTACTAATTCAAAAAAAAGGGGATTCTGTTTTTATGTTACCACACTGATATTGCCCTGTAGTGATCACACAACTGCATATTAAGCTATAATGATGTATTTTAACATGTGAGAGACAATAGGATGCTATTAAATCTAGGCTCATATGCCGTATTTTCTGCTGTAGAGTACATTGTGAATATAGAGTAGGTGACTGAGATGTGCCAAGGGTGGGGTAGGATGTGTTTTTGAGGGAATCAAAACAAGAGATATCCAGTAACAACACTATGACCTACATTCGTCGAAATCAATGAAAACTACACAAACTCCCACGTTAAGCCCGGGGCCCATTTCTCACTTTGCAGATAACCATGGTACCAAGAGCATTAAGAAAACAGAAAACCGTTTTAGTAGTTTTACCATTTAGAAAATGGTCAATCCATTCAATCACTTAACCTTTTGTGAAATGGCATTTTAACCTAACCAAGGCTGTGATTTATGACTAGAGTCCATTTAGGAATTGAGATGGTTAAGGCCATATTGTAAATGTAAATCAAATAAATTTATTCTTTCAGCTGTATGTTTATTAATTCTATGAAACACAATATTGGGGAATAAGACATAAATTGGGATCCATATCTTCCCAATTGTCTTAGACGTTTCTAATCTAGCCATTCTGATAGTATAAATAAATAAATGGTTTGATTAAGAATCAGAAGCAGAACAATGACCATCGATCATGACAGTAGAAAGCCCCATTATCTTCTCGCATAGCTGCCTGTTGGTTTCTCTTATGGGAGGTCTTGAGTTAGTAATCAGTGGAGTGGTCCCTAATCAAAGATGGCAGGTGTGCATTTACCCATGAGACTCATAATATTAAAGATGGATATATAGTGCAAGGTCAGGTGTTGCGTTCAAAGAGTGCTGTAAAAATGCTATCTAAGATCTTCTAAAAAAAAATTACATCTTACAGGCCTGATGCAAAACAAAACCCTAATTAAATGAACAATGCTAAAAACACAGAATTGTTAATACAAACTGTTGAATCTGAAGCAGAAAATATACTCACACCTGAGTGATCCATTCACAATCAGGAAGTTACTATTGACAATATTCTCCAGATGAAATCTTGCATGCAGCTAAGATAAATATTTTATTAAAGCCACTTATCAGAATAACCTTACTTTCCTCGCTTTCACTGAAAAATATAGCTTGAAGCAATCTCTCTCTCTTGGACAGTTCTGGCTATATTTTGGCAGTTTTGGCGGTTAGAACC